TGGCCACAGGAGGATCCAGTTGAGGAAAAAAAAAAAAGAGAGAAAACTGGAAAGTAACACACATCATAAGGGGTTGTAAAATTACTGTAATATAATATCTATATAACTACTATAACTCATATAATTAAAAAAACCACAACAACTTTTTTGCTTTTAACTTTTCAAGGCTGCCGACCTTGACCTGCAGGGAAATTCTCTCAAACTGTTACCATAAGTAAGGGTTCTCATCATAAGTATATTGAGCTACATTAGAAACTGCAGAGAGCTTTGATAATCTGAACTGACACCTTTTCACTCTCATATTTCTAAAACTTTAAAACAAATGCAAGTGAAATGTTTGATCTTTAACTGATTAGAGTCAAGTCTTCTTCTTCCCATTGCAGTTACTAAAATCCAGTAATTGTGACCTGTTTGTAAGAATGCAGGACCAGAATGTCTTTTTTCCAAAACATCTTTTTGTTTTGTTTTTGTGGAAAAGAGTTCTTAACATAAAAAATGAACACTGGACACAAAAAATAAAATAGACTTTCCTCAGTAGTCAACTGATGGAGCCACTACCCAGATCCCAAATGAAACCTGCGTATAAAGCCATTTGTCAAGTAACTTCTAAAATATATTCAGCGAAGACAACTGAGGAGTCCTCAGGCATACAGAAGGCTTTGAGAATGCCAGAGGACACAGCTACACTCACAAGGTGTTGCTCTCTCTTCCCTCTGAGTCCCTGGACTTAGAAAGGGAGCAGAGCAGCTAATGCTGGTACTCAGCTGTTGCCAGTCCCCTGTCTTAGCACCAAATGAGGGAAGGATGGGATCAACATGTATGTGTGTGCATTCTCAGCCTCCAACACACACACAGACACACTACAACCGTGTTGGGCAGCAGACAAAATCCTGTTCCATAGTGGGAAAAGATGTTCGAAGGCATAACACAGAAGAAGCAGGGCAGAGACACAGAAGAATTGGTCAGCATGAATGAAGCAGTCAGGAAATACAAGGGACACAAAGGATTAGCAGTGACTTCTCTGATGTCAACTTTGTCCCTCAGAGTGCTACATCTCAATAGAAAAAAACATCACTAGCTACTTCATTTCATTAAGGTTACATCTTGCATAAGCCATTGGCCAGGGTATCAAAATACCTGCCGAGCCTGAAGAGATGAACCAGAGAACAGTATTAAGGTTTTTCCAATTCTGGCTGTAGAGTAAGTCAAGCAAGCCCAAACCCCCTGAATATGTAACAGAATTGAGGACAGAGGCCACAGCAGGGCACATAACACTCCATCCTCCACTCGCACATCACCACTGCTGAGAGAGAAGCATGGACTTGGGCCAGGCTCTGTGCCAGGGAAGACCAGGCTTTTCCACCTCTGGCTCTGGGGAAAGCTGTTTTTACAGGGAAAAGGAGAGTTTCTCTCATACCAGTCATTATTAGCTGCAGAGGGCTCAAGGAACACAGCAGCAGCTGGCACTAAAAGAGACAACTGTCCTGTCACCAAAACACTACCCTGAAACCATCAGTGATTCTCTCCTTCACCCACTGCCACCATCAACACCCTACTCTCGTTTATCCCTTTCACAAGGTATTTTTTGTATTAGGGCAGTGGACTTACATTGTCATTTGCCAGTTATTCCTTTTTCTTACCTTCCCTGCTACAATTTAGGTCAAGTTCTTTTGCTAAAGCATTTTGCTTCTGTCCAAGTCCACATATTCAAGCTCCTTCAATCTTCTTACAACCTCTCACATCAAACCACTAGACTGTTCTCAACCCTCACCTTCAGCCTCTTATTTACATCTTGTTTGCAGATACATCTGTACCATTATTTTCTACAAACTCACTACTAACCTTTGTTTTCTTAATTTCTTCCTTCCTTTTGTGCTTCCTTATGCTACAGCTCCTGGTAAAAGGCTTCTCCAGCGGACTACAAGAAAACATCATTGTCCTTCAAGCTTGCATCTTGAAATAGTGGTAACACTATTTCATCAGTCACTGCTTCAAAAATGCTAACTGTGTTTTCTTTTGAGGCTGTTTCACACTCTGTGAAAGGCAACCAGGAGCACTGACAAGTACATAACAAGTAAACAGTGCCCAAATGTGCACATATGCAATACTTTCTGGTTTTCTTTATAATTAGCACTTGAAGCTACTCCGCCATCTCCCACCAATTTCACAGCAGGCTTTATAATTTTACCTTCCTCTTAGGTTTACCTGTAGTTTAACATTCAAAGTGTGGTTGTTGCACAGAATACCTCAACAGACTTGTATTAAAAATGCTCTTTAAAATTTTGAAGCTTTGAACTAAAGAAATATCTCAAGAAGTTTTCATGGAAAGTTCATTGCGGTTGGTTCAATTCAGCTACAGTTAGATGCACCTTTTCAAATAATGGGAAAAAAATGTAAAGGGGTCAGACCCAATCAATACAGTTGTTCAAACAGAATTTCAGGCACTGTGATGTGGGTATTTTCTTGTGCTCTTTCTTTGTACTGCTCCACTATGAAGAAAGGTTGCTTTTGCTAGCAGAGCAATAAAAATCTTAGCCTTTTGAATACAGCCAAATAACCAATGGGAATGTTTACTAGGTGTGGAAAATATAGCAATTTTTTCACGTTTTTCTTGTGCATGCCTTTGTTCTTTTTGTAACTGTGCAATACATAGCTACACAGACACACACCGGCACAAGTGAACACTTTAAAATACCTGCAGACAGACATAAATCAGAGGGGTAACATCACATCATGCCTTCTGTGTCTTCTCAGTTCTGACACCAAGTAAATCTGGTCTTTCCTTCATATAACATCCAGAAGTTAATTGCTAAGACACATGGGAAACAGGTGGTGTTATAGAGGGGAACAGACACTGATATAAAATTCATACCCTTGAAGATCTGGAAATCAGATGAGAAAATGGTGCAAGTGGAAAAATAATGGTATAAAGAGTACCAGAACACGACAGAAGCACTCTGCTTTCTCAAAACACCAACACCTCCCTTCAAAGGCTATGGGGTACCCAAGACCTTACTGGGCTTTAGCAATTTTTGAAATAGCAGCACACAAGTTTAGTAGCACCCTTCATTAGCTTTTCATTCCACACATAAGAAACATCCCAGAATAGGATCTCTTAATAGTCCCCGGAAAAAAACTTTTATCTAATTTTAGGGGTTTGGGGTGAGGTTTGTTTCAGTTTTGTTTGGGGTTTTTTTTGGAGGGGGGAAGGGAGTGGAGGGAGTCTTTCCCACCTGTTCCAGAACAGCCTGGATGCCTCTAAGCATTGCTACTTGCCTAGTCCTTCAAAACAAACAGCTTAATACAGATGTGCAAAGACAAGCAACAGCACTACAACTCCACAGGGTTCCCAGCAGCCCAGCAATGCACACAACCTAAAAGCAGTAGTGAAAAACAGGAGTGGGGGACGTTGTGCAAGTCCAAAAAAGTGACAGAGGTGCTACTTACGAGTATCGGGCTGTACTTTTATAAATGCAGCTGGGCAATAAAATTTTAGTAACTGCAGCCAAAGAAATCGGAAACAGCTGTATATGGGAAGAGAAGTCAGTCTGCACAGTTTTTGCTTGGTACAACATTACAAAATACTAATTAAAAAACAGTGCATTCAAAACAACTGATACTGCTTTCTAATGAGTGAGTATAATTAGGCCCAAACACTTCACTGCTTAATAGGCAGAGGAAAAAAAAAGACCACTTTATGACCAAAATGATACCGATCTGCAAGTAGATATATTTTTTTCTAGTTTTAATATTAGAGAGTAGAATGTAACACCTATAAAAGAACATTTTGATTAAAAGAAACAGAACCGAAAAAGGAAATTAATCCAAATCTAACACTATCTGCACTGGAAAACTAGCCATTACTATTTAAAAACTACACTCACCCCAACAAAAGATGGTCACTAAGAACAGCACTTCGCATATTCAATAAAAAGTTTTGGAATAAAAATTACCTTGGTAATTTTTTCCCAAATACGAGACTAACTATGGACACGGACCAAAATCTTTAGAAAGAGTGGTTTTACTGAAAACATTAATGATATAATTGTTTCGGGCCAAATCCTTCTCTTCCACGCAAGCTCGAAGGAGCAGATTTTGTGCGTGTTACCAAAGGAAAGAAAACAAACATCTACCACAACCTGCGGTGCAGCAGTGCCTGCACTCCTTTCCCTTCACTGCCAGGGCAGCAGACGGAATCTGGAGTCAAGGGAAGCAGCAGCCCCCGGCCCCACGGGCCCTGCTCCTCACCCACCTATGAGGGCCACACGCTCTCCCCTCCTGCATGGCAAAGCTCCCGCAGAAAGAATGCTGTCCCACTGGACACGACACACGTGGTCAAAGGCTCCTCTGTGCGCCTGAGAAACGGGGCAGCTCAGCCCTGAATTTCTGCTGTCCCATTTAAAGGTCAAGGACTCACAGCCTCAGAGGTCCGCAGGGTCAACACTAAGCCCCAAAAACACTTCTAAACTGCTTCTTTACCTTCTGTTCCACAGACGAATTTTCAGAAGAATTAAATATTTCCAGTGGTCTCCCATCAAAATGGTAACACTTGAGGGAGCTGTTGGAAAATAAATCGGCTGCACCAAAACCTGCTTTGGCAGGTGCCTCCCGTTCCTCCCTTCGGCCAATTTCACACACAGTGCACCTGTGATGCCTCCAGGTTGGTTGATGGGTTGTTCTCAAATTGAAGTTGCTTTTGATACTTCATAAGGGCTAAAAATGCGTCAGACAAACACCTGTATTTATACGAGATTTAAAGGACATTTAATCAAATGCTAAGAAAACATTTCTACACAAAATGATAATTAAAAAAAAAAAAAGAAGCATCGGTGTAGAGGGAACCTGATTCAAATTAAAGCGAAATAAGTGCAAAACTGTGGAACTTCACTGTGGTTTGAATCAAAGAAAAGCAAAATACGGTAACAGCACAAATGACTCTGGATTTCCAACTATCTAGAAACTGATAAGAGAGCAGACAAGACAGAGGCAATAGGAGGAAGTTATGTTAATATTTTAATCTGTACATATACCATTTTCCAAACTGTTACATTTTATTTAAATTAATGTTTTCTTGCAAAATATTCATTTATGCTTTCAAAACTTTTTATAAAGGCAAAAATAAATCATTATTTTGGCAAAAGGTTTTGAAGTTGATACTGGCAGTATTGAGGTAAAATAGATTGCATTAGCTAAATATATACTTTTAAGAATATTTCTGAGTACAAGTGTTAATATAATATGATTTGTCTGAAACACGAGGGTCAATTTCAAGGGGTTTTTAGCTATTACTCGAATACAGGAAATAAACAAGTTAGTGGTTTCACAAAATACTGCAGAAGTATTTCTCAGTTATTTCTCACCCAGAGCTGAACTCAGCTACTAATTACATAACGTTGGGAAATTTTTGCATGTCTTGCATTCAGTGTGTACACAGGGTTTTTTCAAGTATAGTTGCAGCAATTCATTTAATCTTATTTTCTTCTTAGGTAACTACCTCACCCTTTGCCCTATGCATAAGTACAACACTGAAAAGTTTGGCAAAGTTAAGCACCAAGTGAACATACATAAGAAATTAGCAGGTGCCACATTACATTAGTTTTGCTGTTTCCAGGATAAATACTAGTCAATACATCATATTGTAAGGTTTATTGAAAAAAAAAAAATCAGAAGAAAAATACGTATTTGCTAGTAAAACGACATATTATAATTTTTTATTGCTTACTTCACATATTTTAATTAAAAGTCATCTTCTTTCACATCTCAACTTTCAAAAAAATCCCAAAATTTGTTAGCTGTTTGTTATGGAGAGGGCAGCACTACTGTCAAGGGCAACCTAGCAAACTGTGTGTATTGATACCAGCAAGATAGTTATCTGGGATCAAAAAACGAAATGGGAGTTAAAACTGGTTTTCATTATGGCTTTCTTGAGAAATTTAAGCTACACAGTGGTTACTAATATTTAGAAATTCAAGCTAAAAGTTCTTGCAATGTATTATTTAATGGGCAAAAGGGTGGGTGATTAACTCTACAAAAATATTCAATCCAAAACACCCTTTCACCAAGCATTTCACCTGTGTTTGTTCTATCTATGCACACTGTGAATGTGCTCCCAGGTTTGTTCAAATGTGTGGTTTTTTTCACAAAACTTTACAATGTGCATCTGAGCCTGAGGGGGAAGTAACAATGTCTTTTAATATCCATGCAAGTAGTGTCTTTTAAAATGAATTCAGCCCTTGATTTAAAAAAACAAAAATCTAAAATACATTGTTCTAAAAATACATTGTCAGTATTTTACAGAGTTTATTGAAAGTGCCGTTTATTCGTATAAAAAATGTGAACTAAACCGAAGTAAATAAAAAAAGATTTGCAGTTCTCTTCATTTTCATAGAAAATCCCCCTATTATTTTCTGAATGTATTTCCAGAAGAATGTGTCATCAGCCAATGAGTATCTTCACAGAAAGTTGGTGAAGAACCTCCTCTGTCTTCCACGCTGTGTCACTAGGTGGGATTTGCCTCGAGTCTTATGTCAGTGTTCACTTACTGCTTTGGCTAATATGAAGTAAAATAAAACATGGTTAAATACTGAAACAAGTAAAACAATGCCAAGCAGTAAGCAATTTCTGGAAACTTTTTTTTTTTTTTTTAAAGCCTTCTGCAGTTTGGCAGAACAAACAGTTCATACAGACACATTAAATGAACAATTATCTCATGATGCCACTGATGCTCAAACACCTGTGTCCTCTGCATGGTGCTGGTTATCACAATTAATTTATTTTTCTCAAGAAAAGGTACCTTTTCATATCTAATATTTAATACTCTGGCACTGTACAATTATTTTTCTGGGTTCTTTAGACCACAGGGTAGAGACCTCTTGAGACCTCTTCACATGCAAAGATCTTATGTGATAGCAAAAATCAGCTAGCATACCCCTGGATATAGAAGAGTCAGGTGTTGTTCAGACACAGAAAAGATGGTAAAGTCTGGTTCTCAGAAAGATAAACTAAACCAGAAAAGCAAAGAGTCCTTTCCATCAAGTCCTTTCCTCTGTAGAGGCTCTTAATGTTTCTACATCTCTCTTGATGTAAATTTGTCATTTTTCACAGGTCTTGTAGAAGGCAGGTCACCAGCCCCTTTGGGCCTTTCTGGTACGTGGCCATTTCCATTTAGATTTTTATTTTTTGCACAGATATTTGACTCAGATTAGTGGCATATAAACAAAGTTATCTAAAGATTAATGCTATTTGAGTTAATCAAGTCTCTTTACTATTTCATCTATGTTTTATCTTTTTCTTCAATTTCAGGCAATAAAATTAGGCCAAAAGACATCAAAAAGGTGTGAATAGTATCAAAGGAAACTCTGGATGCGTAGCAATTGCCTTAACTAGGGACACACTTAGCAGTCACATATAATATTTGCATGTTTTCCTATTTCCAGAAAACTCTGCAAGTCCTACCAGGAAGAGAGACAAATAAAGACATTTCTTAATAAGGACAACGAGATTTGAAGTGGCAAAACAACCTCATCAGAGACAAAAATAATCTTCTGGTAACACGATTCAATGAAAAACACATCCAAGGCACAATCATAGCCAGACACAAGGTTGTAAACTTAAGTTATCAAGGGCCAAATTTTCAGCTCACCTCAGTAAGGACTCTGATGCCAGCTCACGTGTAAGACAGCAGCCCACAAATGAACCCCCCTGCTCATACAACTGTGCTCTTTGGATTCTCTTGAGCAACAACTGCTTATGCCACACACAGGCAAAAAGCACCTGTGCACCCCCCCAGCTGCCACAGGAGCACAGAGCAGTGGCCATCGGAGTGCAAACGGCTGCTGAAAATCTGGCCCCTTGCTACCAAGAGGACAGATGTCTCCTTCCTTCACCACTGCAAGATCATGAAAGCACCTCATCTGTAGAGTGACAGGAGTTACATGAAGATTTCAGAAGCCCACGTGTTAGCTCATTAGATGCAATATTTACAAGAATGAAAGGTTTCGGAAAAAGAGCTGCATGCTTTCATTTGGATCCAATTTCGGTTTAGTAAAGATGTTAAAATTTAGCAAGCCACAGCACAGGCACAGAGGCAAATCAGACATGCCGAGAGCAGTTAGTTCTTACTTTTAAGGTGTTTAAACAAATGTGTAGTGAAATCCATTGCTTAAGGGGGAGTGAGGTGGCTGTGGTACAGAAGGTGAGGGTGCTTTAGGTGGATAGGTCAACTGCTGAGCTAGAAGGGATCACATACAGGAATTAGGCTGCACAATCAAACATTCATGTTATCAATGGAGTGACCTTAATTTTCTACCACATGAATAGGAAACCTGATTAGTCATACAGTGGAGGTGCTACACTATTTTAGTCACACAGAACACAGTCTAAATGGCAGCATTTCTTTCTACCTGCTGGTTTTTTTCTATTTGTTGCATAAGTTATGCAAATAAACATTCCTGTTTGAATGGGAATATGGACAAGTATTCAAGTTTCACTGGAGCATTATTAAGGTACACAACACTGATATACTGTCATCAGCCTGGCTTTTAAAACTGCAATTCTGAACCTGCACCTGTATTTGCTAACTTGATTTCAAGACTTCACTGAGGCTGTTTAGGTTTTCAACATTTCCTTTGTTATATGCCAAGGAGCAGATATAAAATAAAATGCAGAGAAAAATAATTTTAAAAAAACTACATATGTACGTAACATTTTGCTTAGTACAGTGCATGACACAGTAAGTAAATTTTCAGATCTCAGCTTAAAAATACAGGATAAAGAACACAATTATTAAAACTATCTTTGTTTATAAATAAGACTAATGGTATAGTATTAGAAGACAATAACCATAAAATTGAAGAGACTGAAACTCAACCTAAAATTCTGCTTTTACATTTTGGTTGGCTGAAGATAGACATAATTCCAAAGCACACAAATTAGGAAGTGACTTCTTAATACTACTGTATTTGACTTTAATCTTCCAGATTCTTGGCACGGTTTCCATTTAGAAGATTGATTTCTTAATAGAACAGAGGAACTCTAAAATGCTGCTTTTCAAGGATTAGATAAATGTACAATTTATTTCAAAAGATTTATATTAGCATAGCAACTTAACTGCTGCCCTCTGAAAAATGGGAAAAGTTAAGCTTCACAGTCCTTTTCATAAGCAAATCTATGTAAAAAAATCTAGATAATTAGTTTGGGATTTTCAGACATTGTCTGCTTCTTCATCAAGGAACAAATGACAACCCACACTTCAAAAATCAAACTACAAAAATAAGAATGTGAAAGAATCTGTAATATGAGACTAAATGAGAATGTACAATCAGCTGTGCAAAGTGTCAAATACTTTTCTTTCTAATCACCTTAGACCATAAATAAAAAACCTGAACTCTTTTCCAGTTTTTAGATTTTCTATCAAAACCAAACCCCTCTGTTTTTTTCTTCTTTTCTTTTTTTTTTTTTTTTAAATTTTAAATACTGTGAAAGGTGTTTGCTTTTAAAGGAGTAAGTAATAATTGAAATCAAAGCAAGACATGTTTCAAGATGTGAGTTTTTGAGATACAAGTGTGGCAAGGAAAACTGTGCACAGACAAAGTTTTGGGGTTCCTTAAAAATCTCAGTCCTTGGCTACTGTGTTAGGATTTAAGTGTCTGAATGACAAAAGAGGCAGCTGCTACACTTCACAAAGAAAATTAAACTAAAAATTATCTCTCAACTGACTGCAAATTTTTTGAAGTTGCATTTAAACATTTCAGTGCCAGTACATATTTTAATTCCCTCTTTGAGAAAAAGTAAAAAGTAAAGAATTAAGAAGATTTCTGTGGTTACGTATACCTAAAAATAGGTGACGGTCACACTTTTGAAGTAATTGCAATTTTAAAAATTAAAATATAAATTAAAAAGTATAATAATGAAAATACCACATTCACTATACAATATTTAAAAATCAAACCCATTTCAGCTCTGTACAGTTGCCACAAATTCAGACATACTCAGAAGTAAGCTAACTGGCCCCATGAAGACCTATGAGCAAGGAAGGCACTCTGCTCTTGTTGTGCAGACACAGAGGAATAATTTCAAGTATGGGCTGCATTCATCTGGGCTGATTTTAGTGTGACCTTTTCCCAGCAGAAGCTAGAACTCACGTGGCAAAATGCTATACTGGCTCATACCTCATGAAACATAACATATCAGAGTCCCTGTTACAAGGACCTGGTCACTGGAATGGGGACCAGACCGCCTGGGGAGAAGCCCTTCTGATGCACTGATGGCCTGAAGGTCCACGAGGCTATTCCTTCATATGCTCTCATGATTTTACAATTCTGATTTTTTGTTTGTTTGGTTTGGGTTTATAATGCCTTCTCTCCTCAGTCAATCATTTTACCCCTGCCAGTCAGTTAAATTACCCACAGAAACACTCTGAAGTCTCAAGATTCCTATCTTGAAAATGTATTCCATCGTCTCAAAATCCCATTCCCCTTAGGTTTAAGCTGGCACTGCATCCCTGAGTATACAGCCACATTCAATCAGCAATCTGTTAGTGCAGATGCATGTTACGCATCTGGATATTGGAATAATCTGTCTTTAATGGGAAGGTCTTAAGGGCTGCTGTGGCAAGTGCCATAAGTTTAAACTGACAACTTCAGATGAGAAATGTGCACATTTTTTCTCCATCACAGTTGAAGTTTCCATTATTTCCATTCTCCACTGGAACAGTGAATGGTGCCAGTTATAAATGGCCAGTCAGACATTTGCCAGAATCGCTGCTGCATGGATTACTGTGTGATACAAATCTCTTGACATTTCTTACTTATTTCAACTATAAAGCAATCAAGAGTGAAATTATCACTTTTAGTAACACATTGCAGAGGATCTATTAATTTCCAGGCATCAAGCAGAATTCATGCACAGCTGTCTTGCTCTGACTTCTGATCTTGGTCACCAGACAGAAACGTGCCAATCCCTGTTTTACAAGGGCTTTTTCAGCCTGTTGTCACAGAGCTCAAGATGATAGGGATTGTACTCTAATCTCAATCACTGGACCAGGGGTTCTTTCTGGTAAGAAAAACTACTTTAAATCCTTTACTTTTGATTTTTTTAAAGTCACAAATCAATTTACTTTTTAAAAACACAGAAATATCCAGTTTACTATAACTATATAGAAAATTAATATTATTATTAGAGAGAGTTAAAATGTTATTTTTTTTAGCACTATTAGTTAGAGCAAGTTTCCAAGTTCTGAACTTCTTGATCATACTATTTTCCCCCCTTCCTCCAGTCCGCAGGGGGCCAAATACTCAATGTAAATTGTTAGACTCTCTATCTACATTTGTTACTTAGTCACACTTTTCACTATTTTGAATATGAATGACTGAAACTTTCTCTTATGCCAGGAGTTCAGCAGCAACCCCATACAACTTTGGAAGCTGGCAAGAAATAGCTGTTATTTTGTAAATAACTAAGCATTACCTGCTACCTCCTTGCTCCTCTGAGAGGCTTCAGAAGCCAAAGCGTATGATATGGTAATGATGCGCTCCTGCTCTTGCAGCTGTGAATCTAAATCAATCGAGTTGTGTTTGTCCTGGGCTACAGTAGGCTGCAGATTGTGCATACTAGTGGGAAAGTGAAAAACAACATTAACATTTGCAAACATAAAGAATCCACCATGCAGATAAGAACAAGCTTGAATTTGTGTGGCAGTTTTCAGATCTCATCTATCAAGCTCCACACTTTATTGCTGTTCTTTAAAGCAGTGTTGATATTGCATGTAAATGCCTACAGCACACAAAGAAAAATGACACAGCCATTACATGTTTAGTCACAATTTCTGCAAAGCCTTAAGTAGACCTTTGTTGGAAGCACACTGCTAACACAAAAGCACTACAAAAATGCTATTTATTTGGAGTTGCTAGTAAAATTTTTTGCTAGTGCTCAGACTAAAAGGCCTAGAACCTGATAGCCCTCAGGCACAGCTTCTTCAACTGTCTTCCAGAGACAGCAGATACCTGACATATCAAATTCTTGAAAATTAATATCTCAGCTGACTCTACATTAGCTTTAGGTAGCCAAAAGTGTTCTTTCACAACTCCAGCTCTCATGCTGACTTTTCTTCTCCTTTTGGCTAGATCTGTGCCTTTCCTTGCTTCTCACTCTCATCTACAAGTTGCTTAGTAAGGACTCACTAGTATTTTAGGATTCTCTGAACAGGAAAACAGAAATATACGAAATTTGCTTTAAAAATTTGCTTTTAAAAGCAGCTTTAAATATACTACAGGAATTCGGAGTTCATTTTCCAAAAGCTAAAAGTTACATTTAGATAATCAGAGGAATTAAGATTGTTTCATCGAGTTAATTCTGAATGTTCAACATGAGCCTCTACGTAAGATTTGGGAAAAGCCCCAAAACCTGACCTTGATTTAGTAAGAATATTCTTTATCTTTTCTGCTTTACGCTGCCTTGCTGCCAGTTCTTCCGTAGAAAGAGGCTCTTCTGGCTCTAGTTCAACATAACGTTCTGGAATTACAACCTTCTCAGGTTTTGACAACTGTGGAAAGAAAGCAAGCATCATTTTTTTAATAACAAATGCTTAAAAAACTTGAGATAAATTCCCCGTAATGGGATAACACAGTGAAAAGAATAAAGCATGGATTTTCGCAGTCAGTACATGTACCTGATGCTAAACACTCCCTCTGGATATGAGTGGCTGCCCTTTTAACTGTGTCTTTTCCCTCTGATTTGTTTTACTTTAGAAGATGGATCGAACAAATATTAAAGGGGATTACAAAAGAAATCAGAATCAACAGGGAACCTTTCTTCAGCTCAGGCTTCGAGCCCAAGGCAGGGCTCTGACTAAAGCTGTCACAGTAAAAAGAAGCAACCACTACAAGACTTGACTGAACAACCTGAGATGTTAATGTCATATTTATGTCATGGAAGCAAGAACTTCCTACAACTGAAAGGAAACAACAGCTCAAGTTTTAACCTAGGGTATCATTCTTTTGAGACTGCATAATCTTCTGGGAACAGTGGAGGAAAAAAAGGCCAATAGAAATGCACTGCACTGTGCAATTGTAACAACATGTTGCATAGAGGTACTTCTGCAGACTGAAAATTTCAATATAATTGCACGAAAGCTAGCAACAAGTTTTTGTTAGGATCAATTACTTTAGGGAAAATTTTTTCTCCACATAAGAGACCTAGATCACTCAACAAAAATACAGCTTAGAAATGGACTTTGAAAACCAATGCTTATAATACAGAACAGATGGCTTTTGAAAAACAAAAATAGAAGGTGTGTAAATAAATAGAAATAAGTAAAGATCCCCTAATTGGATTTTTGTTAAAACACTTATGAGGCAATGAGTTTTCAGAATTCAAAGTTTTCAATAAAAATAATCCTAAATTTTTTCATCACTGAACTTAGTTCACACTAATTCAATTATGTAAAGTGGCCTAACCCAAACCCCAGTGATTAGACTCAGTAATTCACAGGCAATCATAGGCCAAAAGCATACAATACAGTCACTGGCATTTATGTCCATATTAAAATCACAGCCTCAAATTTTTATACTTCCTTCTCAGGAAACCCAAAGCCAGTGCTTCCTAAAAAAAACCCTCCTGTTTCCACTACACTTCCTTATTTTGAAATCCAACTCCTCTCTGGAACTATCTATCTACATATATATAAAATAGTGTGGTTTGTTTTTTTTTTAATGTCTCTATCTATCTCCCTACTATAACTAACCTAGATCAGATTATCCTGCCATTTCCACAATAACAAACCCAGTTATCACGTGAACAGCTCAGTACATTTCCTTCTGAGGCACTGAAGTACCAAAGCACAGAAGTGTCCCACCAGGTGAAGAGGATGGCGACATGAAATGGAAAAGAACAACAAGACCAGCTTGGATGGGGCTCTGAGCAACCTGGTCTAGTGGGAGGTGTCCCTGCCCATGGTAGAAGGGTGGGAACTAGATGATCTTAGAGATCCCTTCCTACCCAAACCATTCCATGATTATTCTAACCTGGGTAAACTGAATAAGAAGGTTTACACTCAGAGCTTCAGACCTGTTTCAGTTACTCTGAAGTAGGACAGAAATGCCTGTAAGCAAAAACGTTTCCTATCCAAGGCTTAAAGGAAGTTCAAAGTGATTCCCATTGCCCTGGGGGTCTTCAGTAAAAGAAAAATTAATAGCAGAGTACAACAAGGACAGGAAATAGAACAAAACTATTTTTTCTGTTTCTGAAGTTCACAAAAGCACTGTGTTTTCTGTAAAAACTATATAAAGATTAACTGAAAGATACATTCATTCACAGAAATCAACAAATAATGGCTCACAGAGTAAACCTTTTACAAATATCTCTATATAATAATGATACTTGGGCAACAGCTTTCAGAAGAGCAGAGGTGCTTACCAGTCTAATTATCATTAATAATTTTACTGATCTGCCATCTACCATGGCATTGAACACAACACAGTGTACCTCCCGAAACCTTTACAGTTGCTATATTCTTTCTTTCCCACCAGATGGCTCAATCGCATTTCAAACTAACACTTAATTCAGTTACTGAAGCTGAAGAAAGATCTGGTGCCCAGAACAACAAGTCATTCCAAAAGCTGACAGTTCAAGCCCCAATAAAGCAGTGCTCCCCTTCTCTATCACCTTTTGCCAGTCGAAATGAAAAGGAGTAAGGTAGCTTTTTCTTCATTCCTGTTTCTCATTTTCAAATACTCTTCATGTTATCTTTGCATCTTCTTTCCCCAATTAATGTAACTTTCCCTAACTCCATCACTTTTTCTTTACAAAGCCTGAGATACACATTTCAAACAGTAGAGCTAACCTTTCAATTTCTTCTCTCCACTAGAACACAATACAAACACAAACCTTACAGAGATTTTACATTCCAGGTCACAAATTTGCAAAAAAAAACCCTGAAGACTCCTTTTAGTTCAAACTTCCAGCTAACTTTTGAAAGAAAAGATGAGAATTCACTGCCTAAAACTTAAGACAGGTTAATATTTAAACAGAATAGGAGGTAAAAAATTATGAGTGTTACCTCTCTGCTGATATCTAAATCATAGTCTTGAGGCTCCAGGTCTGTCTCTGTCACTGCTACTGGCTGAACTTTTAACCATTCATTTTCATCCTTCTCTTCTCCACGAATTGCCCTCTCAAGTAACTGCAAATCAAATTCTTGCTCTCGTTTCCACTGGTAATAGATACAAAACAATTAACAGCATTCAACCACACTGCCAAATTCACTGTATAGCAATGTACATTCCTACTGCTGCAAATGCTACGTCGCTGAAAGAACACGCAGAGCAAACCCCTTAACTGACAAGAGAAAGTGTTTAATTTTACAGGTAATGTTCAGCGGTATTAGAGTCTAAGAAACGTATCATCACAATTTCCCATTTGCTGATTAACGTGGAAGTAGCTACACACAAACATCTCTGGAAGCACAGGTGTCAATACCAGTGAGCCTACAGACTGACAGACCAGTCCTAGGCATTCTAAGGAAACAGTGCTGTGTGGTTTTAAATCACTACACAGACAGGGTACTTACATTGCAGCTTGAGAATCAAAACTTGATAATTTTATGTATCTTTTTAGAATAATACCTACTGTTTAAAGTTGATAATATTTTTACATACTGGCATTAACTTGTCTTGAAATAAAAAATGTTTAACTTCTAAGCTCTTCTGACTTTATTAAAAGCAGAATCTAGCTACCTGTAAAAATTTTTCACACATTCTTTATAAGGTAGATACTTAGCCATATAAATTAAAAATATTAAATATTTCTCAATATGAGATATTTAAATTTAGCATATTTAAATTAAGCAGCATAATTTAGAGTTCCCAAATCATTTCACAGTACCTCCTTTACAACTACACACAAAATAAGGACACTATCAACACCTATTTGTTCAAAAAATTAAGTTCAGTGGTAGCATCATTCCATCCAGTAGACTTGAGCAACTTAAGCAGTGGGAAAAAGAAGGGGTAAAAGGAACAGCAACAAAAAAATTATCTCCTCAAGCATTTGAGGCAATCAGTAGGAGAATGTGCCACTTTTATGTTTCTTGAAAATACCTCCAGTATTTCTGGTACAAATCTTTGGCTTGTTTTGGCTGAAGTTTGAACTCCCCGTGAAGTGGTTAGACTTCATTATGCTACTTGCATTAATGAATCTAATTGAAACCTATTCATGCACAAGCTCTCAGTATTCACTCAGAAGATAAGTATCTTCCATGTATATTAAAAAAGTTAAATAGCTAAAAGGCAATTATACCTCAAAAATTGAGATGCTTCTTTACAGAATTTAAAAGAGAAAAAAAAAATTTTCTCATGAGTACTCCAAACTCCTTCTACTCATATTCGAACCAGGCCTGATTGACATAGTATATTTTAAGTACACAGTATCATTTTCAAGTTCTTATATATAGGTAAGAAAAACATCAAACCATTCTTACGAAGCAGGATTTTTATTGGCTTTGATGTTGCAACTTTTACATTAAAAAGGCATTGTATATAACAAATGAATTCAGGTACTGTGATCAATACTTGAAATGTCACACTACACTTGAGAGCTGACCAATTAAAAATTAGAACTACACATACAATTTATGTCTAAAGCAAAAGTTACATACTGAGCAGCACTCAAATTATACATTTAACTGTTTGCCATTTTGGCTGCTAAATAATTGTAATGCTGTAAGTAGTTGTGCTATCAAACATGCTTTTGCATATCAAAGCCCTATAGGTACAAGAGATGACCTCTACAAAACATTACTAGGGCTGAAAAAACTCTATTTTAATTCTTTACAGCAAGAAAAAGACCAAGATGGCACCCAAATTTATAAATAAAGTGTTTGCCACAAATGTTAATAACGAGTGTTACGAAAACGTTTAAATTCGGTTTGTGTATGTTATGCGAGTCAGGAAGCATAAGAAGCCCAGATTTATTTCTTCTAATTTAAAATATGAAAATAACAGTGATAATATAGTACTTAAGTTCCCAAACATTACGCACCGTCTTTAAAAAAATTTGTGATTGCAAAACAGAAGACAAAACGGATGAATGTCTCCAAGCAGTGCACTCGTATTTACTGGGAAAGTAAATACCAATAACTGGCTGTAAATTAGTGCTACAGAGCAGTGGGAATGAAAAGCTGAATACTGTAAGGTTTTTTTAATGCCGGCCATTGACACACATGTACTAAATGCAATTAAGCCTGGTAAAAATTGAGTAGTCCAGTTAGAAATTTTAAAGTAACTACAAAATTCTGCAAATTAAAAACAAGCAAACAAAAAAAGAGGCATTAGGTATGATGAGTGACGAATCTAAAAGCAAGAGATCTTGTGCAATGAATTAGGTAAACAATGTGATCATTCTAAAGCTCTAGTGGACCAAATAAAAAAATAAATTAAAAGACCACAGCATAAGTGCAATTACAGTACAATCTTGGTTTAGCACCAAGTGAGCAACTGGGTAACTTCACCAATTAGAACTGCTTTGGTTAGTATCCAAAATGTATCATTATAAACTTATTATCTGTACAGCATTTATTCTCAGAACGCAACAAAAATACTTTTCTTCAGCAGCTTAAATTTGAGCCTTATTAGAATATTCCACATGTTGAGCTTTAAAGAAGAGTTTGGATCAATTAAAACAAATTAATTCTTACATCAATTCCTAATCAGCATGATTAGATTTTAAAACTGATTATCCATTTATCATCTTTTTAAAAAACCAAACACCACCTTGGTCTGATATTACTATGACTATCTCACAGACTAATTTATGAATTAAAAAGAAAAATATCCATGGTGAATAAGAACATTCTAAAAGGCCCATTCCATTATGGAGCAGTTTTAAAACTGTACACGCTTCTTAAACTTTCTAAATACAATTCCAAGGAAAAAAACTCATGGCTCTGAAGTCACCCCAATAAACTGGCATCTCCACTCATCACTCTAACCTCTGACCAACTTACCTGCTGAACATGCTACATTTACCATAACTACAGGTAAAAAAGATCACCTGTTACTCACACTCTCTGAACTCATTTGATCCTGTGTACCACTAATTGGACTAGGAGCATCACACACACACTCAAGTGAAAGTGCTTGCCAGGAAAAAAGAATAAATCCAAAGGTATTTTTAGTTTAGTCCTTTTAAGGCATATCTAACATACTGAGCCTACGTCTGCAGAAACGGGCCTGATGAAAGACCGAGATGAAACAGACTGCCTTTCTCCTTGGCTAAGAGTCCTCTTGCGCTCACGAACTAATGCCTTCTGATGTCGCTTCATTCTTTCTAGCTGTTCCTCTGCACTCATCTTGCCTCTTTGGTGGTCTCCAGAGTATAAACGTTCCAAGGCACTCTTTGGTCTCTCCTGTAGAAGTCACAAGGCACACAAAACACATTTTGTAATTAATACTTTATAAGAAGTATACAAAAAAATGAACTCTTTCTCCTACCTTATTGGTAAATGTTATTCTATTTCCTTTGCATTTCTTCGCATGTTTCGACTCTGTGTTTTCTATTAGTAGGGCTGATTTTTGGTTCTAAACCTGTTTTATAGATCTATTTGAAATGTGGTAAGTTGTTTGTCTGTTTTCCGATTCATTTAAGAAAGTGAAAAATTGAAGGTTTTATTAGATCACAGCTCTTGGTCCTCTCCTATCTACTGCAGTCCCACTCCCTGCTATGCAAAATGTACTTTGGGCTTAACTATTTTCAACTGTTCAGACATTTGCCTTCAGATGTTTATATAAACTTACCTTGGACCTATCCCTTCGGAGTGTTGCAAACGATGAAATGGTAGATGACTGATGCAATCTGGAAGTTGATCCAGACAAACCTTTATAAGGAAAAAGAAGATGCCTTAAACCAAACGACAGACAAGATAAGACAAGTATCAGCCTATACTGCCATCACATTTCTGTGACATTCTGGTTACTATTTTAGCTTGCATTTCACATTCTGCAGTTCAGAAAATCATGAGAGGCATAAAATTTCACTTCAGCCAAACATAATGTGTTTCAGGTCACTACTAATCAAAATTCAGAAAGACCTACAATCATTTAGAAGCTCATATTAAATGAGGGATGGGGTGAAATCAGCTGTACCACAGTAGATAAACTGTACAAATAATCACCTCTATGAAGAAAATCAAACCTTAACATTCACAGTTAAAAAGGAAAGAAATAAGAAGGGAATGGCTAAGAATTTGCTTTTGCCCAAATATCATGTCTGTCCTCATTTGTGAAATAGTTACAGGAGTGTAGCACAGTGGGGATGGACTGTCAAGTCAGATGTAATGTCTGAGAGCTTTAAATTAATATTCTTTATCAGTTACATTTCAATGCCAGTATAAGTGTTTATAAAAGATCACATAGAAATTATGAGGAAAAATAACTCTGAATATAAGAGATTCTAATAGCTAATCCCATGTTTTGCTATGAGTTTTTTTAAGCTTTATATATTAAGTTGCTTTGCAAAAGGTTGGTTGTCTGTAACAGTACCATTAAAATGCACAAAATCTCTAGACTTTCACAGCACTGTATAGTAATCTAAAAATAGTGATCTGACGATAAATGTCATCTCCAGAACATTCTAGGAGAGAAAAGCTCCTATACAGACAGTACTGCTAAAAATCAACTCCATAAATTCCTGGCTTACCACGGGTAGGTAATGTCTGGTATCCACTGTCAGGGTTTATTAAAGCACTGGAAGGATGGCTGAGGTCACCCCCTATCATTGCGAGTTCTGGTTCACTCATGTATGAACGCAGTTCCACCTACACAGAAAAATACTCATCAGCTCCAATGAAATCAGAGACAGAAAGTCTTAATAATCTTAAAACAAATCCTAAAGTTTTGTTTCTGGATTACTAAATTTCCCTCCGCCACTTTTATATGGCATAGATCTCTCCTTGTAAGTACTATCTCTATGTTGTTATGTATCATTAATACCAGACTTACAGGTCCATTTTTAGAGACAATAGTATTTCAGAGACAATATTTTAGAGACAATAGTATCTTTTAGTACAGGTTCATACATCTTTAAAGTGCAGGGGTAGAGGTGTATGAGTGCTCACCCTATAATCTCCATTTACATACTGTCCGAGTTCTCTGTCTCTCTTTCTCTCATCTGACTGACGTTTCAGGCCCCGCACTGATGTGTGTCTGATGACAGTGGCTTCTCTTGGGAGTGGTGGAACAGCTGGTGGCTGATCATCAGGACTGTACAGCTGCGGGAGAGGAGGTCTGGGTGGTGCTTCATCTTCCTGGTAACAAGAAAGCATAGGTATTTGGCAAACAGTCTGAAAACAGTCTGGCATAAAGTCCATTGCATTATATGCTATTTGTGACTGATTCAGCATGTTCTCCTCTGCCCACACCAGGAGCCTGAGGTTTTAAAACCCAAATTAGACCTAAGCAATCAACCACAACGTATTCCCAAGATAGACTGTGAATTAATAAATTCTATAACAGTATATGGCCACTGTACATAAAGCTCCAAGTTACACACGTATTCTGCTCTAAGTCCTACTGCTCAGATTCAGTACAAACATCCTAAGTGCCTCCCTATTGTGCCTCCACACCGTGTGCACTTCGTAACCATGACACTTTCACTGTTCCTGCCAGAAGGAAATGGAAACACTGGGGAATGAATCACAGAAGAGCAGTACTTACAACCTTTGGCTTGAGCTTAACTGGTGACTGAAGAGGTGGCTCGATTTTTTTCAGCTGCTGTGCTTGGTGCTGTGTTCTGGTTTGGAAATAAGGCTGTGGATACAGCCTGACCTCCAGAGGGGATTTAACCGGGCTGCGTGGAGGGCTCTGCGCAACTGGAAGTTTGCTCTCCGCAGTTGCAAGGGAAGCTGGTAAGGAAGGCACTGAAGACTGAGGAAACGAAGGCACTGTTTTTCTCTCTAGAGGGAAAAACAGACAAACATGTTAGGTGTTGTTTTCTACCAATAATGTTCATAAGAATAGCAATTAACATCCTTAGACTTCATAAAGCAGCCCTTGCCCTCTGTGCATTGCTTTGAACACAAACGGGGGTTTTGGGCATAAAAAGTGTTTGTTCATTACGTTGTAACAGGAGCGGAAAACATTTTTTGATGAGGATCTAGCAAGTCTTTCAGTCCAAAAATAAAACCACGCATTTTAATATCATCCAGTAGAATTCCTTGTAGAGCACAGTGGGAGGGAAGGAAGGAAAAGCCTGGGAGTCATATGAAATCAGTTCATAGGCTGTGTATCTGGCCCCATGCCACAGATTCCTTAAGATGCCTACACATCTTGACAAGGCTGGGCACTGACAGCAATACCGTAAATAAAATGAGAGCTCACCTTCTCAGAACTATTTATCTCTGCATGCAAAAGGCGAGCAAAGATGCTTGAAATACAGAGTGGATTTACAGTAGGCGTTAACAGTCTCTTGCTATCCCAAAGCATTGCCTTTTCTTTGAAATGTAATAATGCAATTGAAATGCAGACCACACACACCTTCCCTTCCTCCCTTCCACTGTGTTGCTGCTCTGCCCACCAAACACCTGCCTGAGGAGGGAGGGGGAAGGCAACTGCAGCAGGGGCAGCTGGGCAGCATCCAAGGGGAAGAGAAAAAAAACCAAACAAAAACCCCAGAGAAAAACACAGAGAGGAGCTCCCAAGCAGAATACAGAACGGATACTATGCTTGTGTGAGCCTGGCATGTGTCAGAAACTCCTTCTGCAACTCGAAGGACTTAGCCCATTGTTGTTATTGTTGTTCCTTTTTTTCCATGGCTTGTTACATTTTACTGCCATCGGTATGTGAAAACAAACAACAAAAAACCTTGTCACCTCAAGAAAATAGGTGTGCTCAATCAACAGAGATTTCTGATATATCCAATAGAATTAATTGGATTTTCAGCTGTAGAAAAAACTTCCCGACTATTTGCACAGACCCAAAGATTCAGCTGCATTTGTACATTTTTTTATTTTTTTCATCATATTCTTCTTACCTGGATTCTTAATAGAGTCTACTATGGTTTTGTAGTTTGCTTTATTTGCACTCAAGCCAGCTGTAACATCTTCAATTCTCCACAAGTCTTTTTGTATTTGTGTTTTCTCCTGATGTTTGTAGTAAAAGGGAAAAAAATCAATTATACCTCATTTTTAATTTACTATGAGTTTATCCTTCTTTTGATACCACACCCAAACTAGTGGTTCAGAACTTACATGAAAACTTAGGAGTCTAGAAATGAGTTAAACAATTATTTTAAAATAGTAATTAAAAAACCCCAAACCCAACACCAACCAACTTATCTCACCCATAAAATTTATTAGAGCATTTTCTGAGTCTTGGAAGACTTCCTATAAAGCACTAGGGAAAAGAGACACCTCTACATTTTTTTTTTACAATATTATTCAGGCTAGAAAAAATTAGTTTAATGTTCTACATAAAATAAGCTTACAGAATCTTTTCATTTGAACTTTGTCCTTAAATCCTATAACTAACACACTTAAGACTGCTATAGCAGCCTTACGAAACTCATCTTAATACATTTAGCTGAAATGTCCAACATTAAAAAAGCAAAAAATTAGATCATCTCCTTGAATCCTTCCATAAACTTCCCAATGGTTTTTAATGGATGAAACACAAACCCCAAACAAACTCAGAAGGGCTGACAATTTTAATTTCTGCTTAAATTTGGGTTGTTGGGCCTACTGGACATGATGCATTATAGGTTGAAACAATATATTGCTGCTCTTACAGGATTTGGTCTCATTTACATCCTAATTGCTTTACCAGGGCTTTCCAGGAGGAAATAAAGGGAAACTTTGTCTACAGTCCACACTCTGCTTTTGACTGTTATCTTGCAGCCAGAGCCTTGGCTTCTGAAGCCACCATTTCAGACATTCCAATCATCATAAATAGTTATTGTCATCTAATTAATCAAAGCCTCATAACTCTGCCTTCAAAAATTTGCATCGAGAATAAACTTAGTAAAACCAATACTATTAAAGAAAGCAGAAGGCAGTGAAACACTTTGGTTAAGAATTGCTTACAAGCTGCTCAAGAACTCTAGAAATCCATCACTTGCCACGAGCTACAAAATAGCTACTAATTAATCCTATAAGCCTGAAAGTGAAAAAAACTTCAGTAAAAGCTGTTACACCTCATAGAGCTAAGGAAGGGATATAAATTGCTTTCCACTTTCTGTCTTAGATCAGGAAATATGTTCAGCCAGGTTACAGATCAGCAAACAGGGTGCCAAGAACACAAACATTTAAATGATGGAGAACGTTATTTGCCTGTAGTAAACTCACTCGATAGATGGGACATATCTTGAAAGATTGTCAGGACACAAACTATAGATTTGCACATTTCATTTCATTTTTCTGAGATTAATCATACTACAAGGAACCAAATGATGGATTTACAATAATCAAGCCTCAGAATGGCTGGAAAAACCTCCACATGTACCAAAAATCTTGCTTCTGAAACCACTCACAAAACATTGATTAGCAATATAGAAAAGCCAGATCTTTTAATATTATTTCTCCCCATTACTTAAATATTGATGTATTTTATATCTAAAATGGGCCAAGTCTGAACAATAAGCAGATGAATTCATTTTAAAATTATGAAAGCCAAGACTGCTGTTTACAAAAGGGTATAAATATACTTTATGGGCCAGCATGAAAAAGTAACCTGGACAGAGAATTCGATTTCTCTAACTTCCTCCACACAGAAATATAATTTAGAATGGCTTACAAAACCAGAGGAGAAACACTCACCCACTAAGAAGTTATCACTGTTAAAAAAGCCCATGTCAGTTAATTTCAGCATGCCCAGATCCTCTCCAGCCCATAAGCAAGAGACAAACAAGCTATTATCTTAAAAGCCTGATTTTTAAAAATCCTTTTTAAAAGGATTTACTATGACCAAGCTGCTTGAAACATTTAGTTTTTGACCTCTAAATTAATGCTATATAGAAACAACGTTAGTGGTTTCCTACAGCAACCTGAGCCTGCACATTTACTGAATTTTTAATAATATTCCGTGAAGACTGTCTTTTTTTAAATGCCATGTGTGTATTAATTTAGTGCTATTGGAACATGCTAGATAAACAATCTTCAGTCTACATACCCTTGGGCAGACATCACAAAAATTCTAACTATTATGGGTACTTCTAGTGAGACTTCTTTGAAGGAATATAATTTGAAGAATATTTGGTACTTTCCAAAAAAAAAAAACCAGTTCCCCTTAGTAACTCCAAAATAGGTATCCAGTAATATTTTTTTTAATATAAGCCAAACATATCCATGCATACTAATATATACATATATATGTGAGTATACACACAGAGAACTGATAAAGTGCTTTCTGTGTGTATTTATAATTATGCACGTATGTGATATGAGATGATAATCAAACTGAATGAACATTTTTTTCCTGTGCAAACTGTATTCCCTTCCATACGTATTGGTGAATCCCATGCCACACATCCAGGATTTTAAGCATGTTCAATGCTCAACTGGAAATTGTTTGTTAAAGTAATCTAGCAGAGTATATTTTGTTTAAACCTCTAATTTTCCTTTGTTAAACAAAATAACTTCATACAGGGACCATTTTATTCTAAAATCTCCCTGGTATTTTTTTGAAATACATACTCTACAGCTGAGCTTAATTACATAATATTCTGACTCCAGAAACTGAATCACTTTCCCATCCCCTAGAATTAAAAGCAAATGAAAATGGACTTTGAAGATTAATGCAATCCAAAAAAGTTTTGCAACTCTTGCTTTGATATGAAACATTTATCCATTAATAGTGAAAATAAACAATTCATATCTGATCAGATATTTATTGCAAATAAATAAATTTAACTCATGCCTTCTTTTGGCCCAGAATATCTGGAAAAACAGACCAAGATCTGAGTAAAATGTATACATTAGCTTTGTTCCTTGTCTTTTGTTCTGCTTAAACAAAGGAAACACAATCCAGTCTGCATTCCTTGCTCCAAGAATAAAGTCACCAGTTGTAAGCAGGTATGTAGAAATAATCTGGTATGCCACATGCAGTTCAGCAAAGAGAATAACTTAGCTTCAAACAAAGCTTCTTTTTAAGATTCCAAACTGAATAATTGATTTAAAACTGAGATGCCTTTCAATTACTGATGGCTGTTAAAACACTTATTCCACTTCACAAAACAATCTGCAGAGATAAATCTTCCACAAATAGAAGAACATGACAAAGAACAAGTAATGACGATAACAATCCAGTGACTGATGATCTTAAAAATGGATAAAGCAGCCAACAATGTCAGATCAAATAAATGGAAGACTAAGAAGTCCTGCACAGTCTTATAAATTAAATACGTTATCAATGTCAAGATGTCAGCATGTAATAAAAACGTAATAAAATAATGACAAATTTGCATAGACAACTTATGAGACACTACTGTGTGTGCTGCAAGATGCCCTACCCTGCACAGCCAGGCTGCTGCAGTGTCTGAGTTCTGCCAACTAAACTACATGGCAGCTGAATGCACTGCAAAAATTGCAGAGAATTTCTGTTATGAGACGATAGCTTCAAGTTCAGACAAAATCATCTTATAAGTGTTTACAATGTCTGGAAATGGACTCACCTGAGATAGCAATGAACTGTTCATCTGTTCCTGTAAGGCTTTTTTCAGTTGGCTCACATCCTTTTCTAATTTCAGATACTCATTCCAGGCATTTTCCATTTCCTATTAACAGAGGGAATACTCTAATACAATGTTATGATAACTAAGAAATCATTCCCTAAAGGACCATTAAGGTGTTTTGAAGTTAGTGTTGTTCTATTATAAAAAGAAGTAAAAAATCCATTTTGTAGTCTACATTGTTGCTTAGAGTTGATTATACACTTCAAAATGCTTTACAGCTTGCAAGACCAAGTCAAGAATCCCTAGTTAAAAAACTCTGGCCAACTTCCTCACGCAAACCCATTTCCTAAGTACCAAACTGGCATGTAATAGAATCTGAACTATACTCTGTGAGGGAATTGAGCCTATTGCAGTTCCATTTCCTTTTAATTTACTCCTCTATTGAAAACAAGTTCATAATTAAAATCCAGTGACCTACACCAGAACTCATGTTTTGAAACACAGAGCAGGTTATCCTTCAACAGTTCTACAGACTATGTTATAAAGTGAGTAAACCAGCAGACATCTGAAGAATAAGCCTATCCAATCACCTTTACTGTGCTTGGATTACTTCCAGCATCCATAGCATCACAGTCAGCCTTCTGACCTGAGAAGAACTGAGAAAAATCAAGTGCCTGGTGCATTTTTATGTAAGGGATGATGAAACAGGCTTTTTCTCTGAATTTTAGAAAAGAGAACACGTGGGAGTTGAGGGGAAGAAATAATGGAGGTTTATGAAGACATAAGTGCCATGGAGAGAGCAGATGAATGTTCCCCATCTTCTCTCATACAAGGGTCTATCACATTAAATGTGCAAGTCAGGATCAAAACAAATAGAAGAAAGGGGTTGTCCATGCAGTGGAGAAAAGATTTGTGCAATACCTTGCCAAATGATGTTTTGCGTGCAGAAGATTTACAGAATTTAAAAGGGGACTTTAAAGATTTTTGGAAATGAGATCTACTGAGGATTACTAAATAGACCAAAAAAACCCCAAAACAAAACAAAAGCCCCACAGTTCTGGGAATTCTCCAAGAAAACAGTTACAACTGGATTGGTTATGATAGGAAATACTACCCACCTCTCCTATCCTTACTCTTCCTTAAGCATCTGCTTATGGCCACTGCTGAAGCCAGAACCCTGGACTAGAAGATGCCTTGGATTGAACCAATACAGCCTTTATTACAACAACTTGCTAATATTTACACCCACATTTACATTTTAAATGCTGACTGTGAAAGTCATATGTTTTCTATAGGCACAAACCACTGTATCTATATATTTGTATAATCCTGGTGTTTTAATGATCAGATCTTACTACAGGAAAAGTGGTCATGCAACTCTAGAAACAATTTTACAAAGAGCTGGTCCCATATTCATTAAAAAGTAGGAACAATAGAGCGAATACACATCAACCAGGTTTAATATGCTCTCTTTCACAGACAATTCTTAGAAATAATTTTACTAATAAAATGCAACATTAAATTACATTTTAATTTTATTGAGTCATAATATCAATAGTAAACTTTGACTAAAATATTAACAGACTTTCCCACTTCTTTTTGCCCTAGAAACGTATCATGGAATCACCTTTTTATTTTCAAAGGACTAGCTGAAATATTTGTAATTTAAGCCCACACGTAGAATAAAGAGACATAAAAAAGTTTTCTGAGTCATCTTTTTTGGTGGGGGCAGGGAGCATTGAAAAGTAAAGCTGGAGAGATTGTGTAATTTTTTTTACCCGGTTTAGTATCCTGTATCTTAACCAAAACTGTTCAGAACAGGACTTAACTCCCCTACCCAATGAACAATACAGTTTTACTCTAACTGGTACTTTATTGATGGTTTTCTTGAAGCAACCAGAAACACATACCGTTGAAACTTTGGATATTTCAGCCCGAATACGAATAAGATCCTCTTGCAAAAGTCTCTGCTGGTAAGATATTTTTTCTGCATGTTGTGGTTGGTCTTTGTACTGATCCATCTGCCTGTGTAAAACCTCCAAAACAGACTCCAGCTGATCCTAGGGAAGAAGCAGTAAGTTTACAACATTTACATGGAATTTTATGCAGCTACTTTTAGTAATATCAAATGTGTTTTCCATGCCACAAGTTTCCCAATGAGGACTGGCCTCCTAGTTTTGGAGACTAGGAGGCCAACAGTAACAAAAAAGCACAAGCACCTTAGTTACCTATTATAACAAAAATTATCTGATAATTTCCATTAATTCTTTCAATTAAGTAGCCCAACCTGTGGAAAACACAATGCACCGAGAAGGAAATTTTTCTATTTACACTCTGTATGAAACTGTAATTTACAGATTTAGAATCAGTATAGAACTGTAACAGCCCAGCATGAGCTGTTTGTTTAAGGACAGGTTCTTATTCACTGTTATAACTGAATTAGCCATATGAAGGATTAAAATATTGTCTAAAATATGAAGCAGGCCCAATTCATTCAGTCAGAAGGAAGTAACATGGAATCATTTTTGCACAGTAGCTCTTCTGAAGGATCCACCTGAACAGTACTTTCATTTTAGAATAGGTTGTTTTCTGAACCATCTTAATTTACTGACAGCTACAGCTCTCAGGCAGGGAAGCAGAGGGGTTTAAAACATTCTCTTTCAAAAACATGTTTTCTAAGAATTGGTAATCACTCCTAACATAAAACCCACTTCTTTTTCTCATAGAAGTTTATACACATGTCCAAGAAAAGCTACTACAAGTGCAAGAAGAATCCAGTAATTCAATTTTTGTTTGTAATTTCATATTTTATGATTAGATAAAAGCTGTTGCTTTACTTTATTAAGCCCTTTTCAATCTCCTTACTTTATTCTCCTTAAGAGCTCTTATTTTGTCCTCCAAGTCCTGCAGAATTCTGTCCTGCTCACAGAAAATGCTTAGCTTCACCTGGAAATGAAATAATATACATATATATCATTAGATTTTAAAAATTAGGCAGAAAAGTATCCACTTGTAATATCTTACCCCCAAAAGTATAATAATGAACACACAACTGCACAACAGAAACAACGAAATCAATGCAAGAGGCTCTGAATTAGTGCTTGATACTTACATCAATATCACTTTCTGCAATCTTGACAGGTTTTGTACTTCTTTCTTTTAATGTGTCACGTCCTGTCACCTAAGAGGAACAGGTTTTAAAAATATAAGAGATTTGTTGCAAACTAAAACCTGATTATGCTTCAACAATGAAAAGTTTTGTTAAGTATTCATGGTTACTAACAAAAATTAATCAAATTTGGGGTACAAGTTATTTTTCAAATCTGGCTTTAGTTTTTGAAGAGTGCTAACAGAAAGAATTACTAGTTATATTAGCCTATTTAACTCTTACAGTAGTTTATAATTCTGTACAAAGTATCATAATCCCAGCTATCTATGGTTACAAAGGTCCTTCTGCGAAATCTAGTAGTTTTAACAGTTCAGCTATAACAGCTTTCTTGAAGCCAAAGGACATGAATAGTTCCTTTAAATGCATGGTTGCAAGAATAGCAGAATCATTAATGACTAAAAATACAACTTTTGGCAAGTATTTCATTCTACAAAGGACAGTATCTTCCTCAGCACAGGGTAAATTTTATTAAAGACAGAATGCTATAAAAATGCTATAGCGGAATTAAATGTAATTAATCTATTTTGACGTGTTTATAATGTACCAAATCTCTCATTCCATAAATCACTGGTTTCATATTCCATTTCTGGTTGAGAAGATTATCTTCTCACATAACACAGTTTTTAAATCAGTACAGAAACAATACTATATTATACTTCCAACCTTCAGAGCAACCTTAAAATGAAGGCATGTCTATCTCTGTAGAAATGTTTATTATTTCCAATGCATCCAGGTGAATAATTTTTTTTTTGGTGAATAAATGAGATTAAGAAAACAGCAATGTAATACAGCTCATTAATCATACATGTTTAAAAGCTTGAAAATCTAATGATTTAATATTACTAGATTAGAATAATTTTAAAGATTCGTTAAAGCAAATAGTATCTCACCAAAGAAACACCTGGTGTCTAGTAGTAATCATATACAGCATATTCCTATTCATATACCATCAAGAGTTCATGAAGAAAAATTCACCTGAATATTGTCTTCGATAATATAAGAGAAGAGGTTTTAATATAAGAGCAGAAGTTGTTGGTTTTTCTGGTGGGGTAGGAGTGGTAGAAGAGGTAGTTTGCTTTTTTACTGACTGAATGGCAATTTCCAGGCTCGAAGCTACATATTTACTTATTAACCTAAGTCACCTACAGGATCATGTTCGCTTTTTAAAAGTAATTATATTTTACTCTTACTGTAGATAAGTCTTTGATATAATCTCAGCTCTAATATGTCATATGAAATTAGTCATCTACACACAGTGTTTTCAAATAACAAAGCAGATTTAAAACAGAAGAGTCTGGTCATCATTTATGTTTAGTGTCTTCTCCACTGGCAGGCTCCATTTAAAGACTTATTATGTGCCTTTTTGTGGCGAAATGTTACTTCCTCATCATCAAAATCAAAAGCACTTATTACCTCTCAAAACTTTCAATTTTTTGATATTTGCTTTTTTAACAATGATGTGAGTTTTTTCTTTCAGAAGTATTAATGGAATTATTTAAATGCTAAATCATATATATAATAGTAATGTAATTAAATACAAATATAAAATACCAGCAATCAAAGTAATAATTCTGCATATTTAATTACCTGCAAGCTAAGAGAATGCAAAAGCCTTTTTCAAAGCAATGGAATTAACATAAAAACAAATCTGCAGATTCTGGGGATACTTTAACTTACATAACCAAAACTGTAAGGAATTTGTTCATTACCAAGCAGTGAACATGAGAACATAATGAAGATTTAGCATGCTTTCACATTTCCAAAATTTCACAGAGGAGTCACTACTTGACACAATCATTTTCAAAATCAAACCAAACACTGAGGTCAGCCATAATTTTGCATACAGACTCCAAAATGGGGGGGGAAAAAAGGAAAAAAAAAAAAAAGAAAAGAAAACCCAAAAATCTTACAGAAAGCGCTACTGTTTACCATAAGACACCTATAAAAGCCAGAAAACACTGACTGCTACTTTAAAAAGCAATGGGATGAGCACATTTCAGATGCAGGCAGTCTTACATGTATACTGGATAGTAACCCTTGTGCTGAGTTCTTTAGCACTTTGTATATCATGTTGATCAGAGGTCCATTATTTTCTATCTGTTTCAAACAAAAGTTTAGTAATAGCTTGTTACAGATGCCAAGGTTTAAACCCCCAAACTTTACAACTCAAAGCTCCACGAGCAGCAGTAATCACACGCTCCTGTGTCACACCCATCCTCGAGGTTTATGGTCTACACCATCTGCCGTGACAGGAGCTACCCCTGGATATCCACCTATTGTCTCACAGTGTGGGTAGATTCTTCATACAACAATAAGACTTTGCTACTTTTTCAAAGCACACATTAAAAGACACAACCCAAACCAGGATTTGCTCAGTCTTGTCCAGTCGCAGTTTCAGTACACCGTGGTATTTTCTGTCATGTAATATGCAGTGATGCTTGCCCCAAGAACTCTCTATACTGATAATCTGAGCAACCCAGTTAAAACCTCAGAGAAAAATGTTATTTCACTTTTATCCCTCCTCCCGTAACAAATACCTGCTGTGTGCTGCATTCTTCATTATCTAAGTGACAGAAGCTTGCACTAGAAACATCTTTCCACTGCAGCAGACACTAAACAGCTTCAGATATTACAGCCTGATTGCAGAAGAATGAAGCAGGACTCCTGAGAGGTCTCCAGACTTGCTTCAACTGGTTGCACAATTTATATTTAATGACACAAATTTTCCTAGATTTCCTCATCCATATTTTGTATAACTTGCTAGGGAATGTTTGTAAATTATTCTGACATGAGGCTGCCCAACCATTCCTCCTGTAGCCTGCCTGAACTTCATTTCAATAGCCACAAAAAAGGGAAGCTTGCTTCACCATTTGTGTTTCACCTTATTTGTAAAGTCATCTTAGAATCTTTGGGGGTAAATTGAGGGTTTTTTTGCTTTACTCTAATCAGTTAAGTGCTTAATCATAATTTACGTGTTGTAAAGTTGTATTTCAAAACCTCTACGAAGAGAAATCTTCAGAAATAAGAGATTTATGGAAAAGAAAAAAGTTTAACTCCAGTTCCAAAATCTTCAGTCCTATTTGAAACTGTTTAATTAGCATGGGTCTCACTCAAAGCCTACTGAACTCAAAAGAGAGTCTTGAACTAACAGGCTTCCTATCTAAGCCTTCATTGTCTTAAATGGATTTACTGTGAATTTGTCATACTCTACCCTTACTAAAAAAAATGTATAATTTGCTTAGTTTCATACAGTGCACTCTTCTTTTTTCCTCATACTGCAAAAAAAAGCATCTCTGCATCTAGTGGCAACCAACACAAAGACACCTTCTTAGGCGTCACAAGGTCTTCAATCTCTCAGCAACCTGACAGGAATTTTTAAATTTCCGGACCTCTACTGAAAGGAGGTCATTAAGAAATGCCCATTTTGAAAAATTACATCATTCCTATGGAAACACACTTGACATTTTGACTGTCAAGATTTTCAAAAGGGAACCAACGCTAGCATTAAGTTTCTTTTCGCAGAAAGATCAGGTGCCACCATACATTTCTCTTCCTGGCTGATTTCATTAGGTGCTACACAGGAAGGCACAGGAGGAGTTTCTGGGAGACCAAACAATTCCTCATATCCCAGGCTGCAACAAATCAATCTGGACAGAATCTGCTAAAAAGTTAAAAACGCCTCCTAATAATTTTGCTAAGCATATCAAATTTTCAGAGGCTTGAACGGTGGTCACCTTTAACGCGAAAATTGTTGTGTTTTATAATGGACAAAACACTGTGTTTATTAATAATTTCTCAACTGGTAGGACTTGTTAAATTGTAATTTGTCATAAAATTCAGCTGATGGTTTGGGATGCAGTTACACTTGGCAAAGCCATGAACAAACCAAGGACAAGGCCTAAAATTAAATGTGTCCCACCAATTTTAAATTTGTATATTAATGATTCCAACAGTTTACATATTTGATAATTTAGACTACATATACCATCTATATGATAAATATTAAACCTTTATATATATGACATTATATTATATGTATGTATAAAATGTATTACTAATATTTTCCATTTATATATTTGGTTCTATGTTTAGCAATTAAAACATCAGATAAAACAGAAATACCTCATAGGTGCAGTCAGCTCATTAGCTGCACATATGCAATACCCTATGGCATCAACTGTGTACATGCAAACAACATGGAGAACAAGGTGCCAAATTTCCCTCCAGCTTGATTTTCAGGAACATCCTATGATTTATATATGGTGAGACATCCTACACACCTTAGAAAGTGGCAGACTGTTTTGCTAAGCGAAATGATTATACCTTTTTGGTGGTTTTTTTCCCCTTCAATACCTGATCTTAAGCAGTCTAGATTTGCTTTCAAATTACCAACCATCAAGTGGACCAGATACAGTAGTAATTTAGTTTAGACAGACGATATGATGCTCAATATCTTATTTACTTTTTCTTTAAAACAATACCTCATAACATTACTTGGTCTGATTATGGATGGATGGATGATGAGTGCATTTGAAATCTCTTAGTTGTAATAACACGAAAATAATGATAGGTGCTAATTAATCACCACATTTTCACAAGAGCACAAGGCATTATAAATATGGTATATTATAAAAAAAAAATAAAAAGCCATCTCAAGAATAAAGAGAAAAATATTAAAATAACACATATTTTAACTTAAGAGGTGTTGACTTCATATTGGTTCTAATGCTACAGCAGAGAAACATTTTGAAACTGGTTTTTTATCTGATTTCCCTAAACCCACATATCATTCATCTGTAGTTCCAGTAACACAAGTTCTTCCTACAAACTAAAGCAACTACATTTTCTGTGTTTGCACTTTAATTGTACGGTCACTACCCAAAAGACACTCAATATTCTAAGCATGACAGTGAGGCAAAAAACATGGTTTCTGCCTCTGACTAGCAGGTGACTTGAAAACCTGCAGGTACAGAGATGATACACAAAAGACAACTGGGTTAAAAAAAAAAAAAAAAGGAAATATACACCTGTAAAATCTTACCTTTAGATCCAAATACTCCAGATCCTTTTTCAACTGGATATAAGTGTCATCAGCCTTCAGGTAAAGTGCATAGGGGAAAAAACAATGCAATGCATTTAAATTTTGGAAACAATTTCAGAATACTTGGTTTGGTTATATATAAGAAAATAGATGAAAGAAGGAACAAAATAACAGAGTAGGAAGTACATAAAAAAGCACATTTGCTCCACCAGCATATGGCTATTTACAGTTGAAAAATGGGCAAAATATTTTGCAAGAATATTACTACTTACCAACCCCCCAAACACAGATTTTTGTTTTCCACCTCTAATGAGACACAGAACTACCTCAAACAATACATTTTCAAATGCTATATTTTCAAGATCAATTTCTACTGACTACTCCTTCACTGAAAAAGTTATGGTGATGTCCTCCCTGCCTCTTTGGGGGAAGAAGAAAAGATTTGTACCCAATAATGTCAGATGTAACTAGAAACCATCATATGATAATCATTAGAATACTTTTGATCGCAATTCATACACATTTTAAAATATTAATTCCTTTATTCATGGAAAGTATGAAGTAAGTTTTGTGAATAAAATACTGAAAAATATATGATTAGAGAATCTATTTTGTCTTTTCAGTAATAGCATTCAACTCAATCCTTATTTTTCCTTGGCTCAGCTGTAATTGCTATCAGCTTAATTTTATAGTTATATTGGTCTAGCATCATCTTCATTACAGTCACTTCAAGAAAAGCATGCACAGAAGTCATAACAAAGTTAATTCTCCTCTTTTCAAAAGTGGTATTTGCAATACAGAATAAAATAAAGTTTAACTGTAGAAAATGTGCTTTGTAGTCAGACAAAATGCCGCAAACTTCCTAGAATTTTAACTGCTATTTTGACAGGATTTTATATCCTGGGTACACTTAACTTTAGAATAAAAGAAAATCACAACTCTATCTTTTCTCAAGTTTTGAGCCAATGAGAATGTGTAGTTAAAAAAAGAAAAAAAACCAAACCCTCTACACCATAAAATCAATAGATCACACTTGCATTTCTTTAGAGGTGTTCACTTAAAATTTCTGTCCAATCAGCTTGTAAGTCTGGCTGAGGACTTGACTAGAAAGTCTGCCCATTTTTGGAGAAATCCCTGTTATTATCGCCCATCTTAGTGCAATTGTTCTGTAGGTGAGGTAAGTCAGGAAATGAAACTTTTTCAAATTCAAAAAAATTCCTTTAGCTTTGGGCCAAAGCCTTCACCAATTCCAAGAAGTCACCACATTTCATTCCCAGGTGGCTCCATTTCTGATGCTCTAATAGGAACCAGAGAGCTCTATAAATACATTTCTCTTTGATCTCACATTTACAAGTATCATAACACCAGTGCAATCAAGAGCACTGTTGATAATCCATGACGCCCCTGAGCTTTTATGAACCAGTGATCACCTGCAGAACTGACACAGTTACAAGCTCATATGAATGTACAAACTGGCTGATGCATTTCAATTTGCAGGTGATGCAGCATGTGGCACAGGGAGCCAACCCCATCATGAAAGCAGCACAAAGAAATGGTTTTGCTTTAGAATGAACTTACTCAGTACTTTAACCCACATTTCTGAAGATGCAGCATTTTCAGAAATAGTGTAAGAAGGAAATAACACTTTGAAACATATGCACCGGCGCCGTATAACTTAAAATGCTCATCTTTTATAGCAAAAACAGTAAGCAAAGAAAAACCACAAACAACCTGGGAACTGTAGAATACCAAAGAATGGGCAAGAAAGCACAGACTCAAGCATGCCACTAATGAAGCATCTGCAGAGTCACAAAATGTCATAGTGCACAGATGAGCCACGCAGCAGCTGACCTGATAGGTGGAATTAGTTGGCAAGTGCTGCAGTAATTGTGCGATTGTGTAATTTCTTATACTAGCCAACTTAGCCTGATGTCTCCTTAATCGAATGAGAAGCAATGTTAGCTCTTCGGGCTGCAGGTATTTAGACACATTGTAAAGAGGAAATTAGCAGTCTTCAGGGAGAGTAACTATAATTACATTTTTCACCTCAGTGCCCAGAAAGCAGTTACTTGACATGATTAAGTAATTATTTAATTAACTCTGCATTTGGTCAAATAAACATAATAAAAGTTGAATCCTGTAATAACAAGACAGCTCACCCCTGGTCATGCCGCAGATAACAGCAGAATTCCTACAGGCTTTACTGGGAGTGGTTAAGACTAAGTTCTCATTCGAGTTATTTATGCTTTAAACAATAAAGTTAAGATTCAAGAGTACTGAGCAGGATTTTACAACTTCACTGCAATGCTACGAGGACACAAAAAGGAAGAGGAGCTGTGCTCTCCACTTACCGACTTGCCGTGCAAACTGGGTGCGCTCACGGTGTGTGTCATGTAGCCCATGGCAGGCATGGAGCGCCGGTCCAGGTGAGTGGAGCTCTGTAAGAAGCCACAGCCACAACTGTGAAGGACTGTGTCAAGTGACAGGTATTGTTGCACTTGAGGGAAAACTCAGAATGCACCTCTGCCACAGATTTTCTATTTGAATTCCCAGGGTGCTTAGATCAGGGTAACATTCACAGGCCAGCCTGAACCTTGGATGATTAAGTAAAACCTAATCATCAACTTACATAATCAACAACCTGCATCATCTTTCACACACAAGTAAAACGAATGAACAACTGAAAATTTAGCACTCGTGATGCTGGGCAGATCAGTGGATTCTGGCAGTACGAGGTGCTTCAGCAGAACGTGCAAAGTGGCTTCCAGCAAATAAAAAAATCATTCATAAAGCTTCCCCCCACCTAACATTTCCCAGAAAAAGGCTGGTTGGCTTATGCCCTCCAACAGCAGGCTTGTACTCCACACCGTAACAACGGTGAATGTTCTCTTTTAGCCAGGGAACACTAAGCTACTGACATGACTGACACCTTGTGGCAATGGCTTCCATTAATACCAAGGGGTTTTTTTTAATAATCATATTTGATCTGCCCCTTTCTGCTTATAAAATGAAAACTACTGCACACCCATTCTTTCATCTTTCTCTTAAAGTACGAACTTTTACGGCTTTCTCAAAGGCAGACTAAATGTCTCATGATACACTTTTATTCCTGTCTCTGAACTTCACTAAATGCTGGTTTGTTTTGCCTTTTTCTCCCTCTACTTTTTTTTTTTTAAGTGTAACTGGATGGAATTTAATAAAGCATTATAGCTAGTGTGGAGTATCACAGATTTTTGCAGACATACAGATTTAAATGTAAAATGACACTGTGTGCTTACATATAAAAACATAAGCCCTTTTCTCTAGAAACTTTCACAGAAGTTCCACAGAGAAGCTTTAATTATGAGAAAAACTGTATTTCCCTGTAATGGTAAAGCCAGGATGCCATAAAAAGAGCTTTATTTTTATGAGTAAATTTTCAGCAGCTACATTGCACAGGAAGGGAAAAGACTGCTGTACATGCCATCGTAAGGGATGTAATGCTCCTTCCACTTACACATGGAGAAACCAATGTGTGGTAGAACATAATCAGGCGTTAAAAAAATATTAATTTCCAGTGCTGCACATCACTAGACTACTTAATCCTGTGACAGAATATTATAAACCTATAAATGCTGAAAGACACCCATCAGCTACACCACATATACACTTGGAAAAAAACCCAGACTGTGCACAAAGCTGCAGCCTGAAGTCATGGTCCTGAATTCACACTGGGTATCTGAATTTACAAGTCTCTGTTTTAGCAAATACTTTCCCTACCAGAGTCCACGGTTGTGGTCAGAGAATTAGGTGAATACAGAGGCTTTCACTACTAATTATTCCAGTATAAGAGCTACCAAGACAAGTCAACCCTTCACTGATTCAATCATGAATTTCCCCAAATTCCCTAGGCAAAGAGAGCCACGTGGAATACCGAATAGGGAAACTTCTGTCACCTCTGGATAAGTACAACAGTCCCAGAAAAAAAAAAAAAAGCCACACTGAAATCATGGAGAAGGTTAAAGTTTCAGACCAGCACTATTTGATTTTGGTTAGCCCAGTAATAAAGGCTCTGCAACGGACCTAAACTACCAAATGCATGAAAAATAGCTGGGTTTTTTGCCATAACTTGAAACTGAGTCAGCTGCAAGACTAACTAAAATAGCTAAACACGTAGAGAAAGCAGGCATGGCAAACACTTAAAGCTATAAGCATAAATAAATAATCAAGGAAGAGTTCATCCTGCTGAGTTTTATATTCTTGCCTGCCTACTCTATATATTAAAATACTACCATTTGTGTATTTTATATATGTAAACATACACCTTTGAGTTCTTTAATAAAAGTATTCCAAACCATTGTGATGTCACCAATTTCCCTTTCCTAACCAAAAGGAATTAATAAATGTGAAATGATCAGAATGGTAAGAGCTTGATGAGAAAATTATTCATTGTGTTAACTTTTACAACTTAGACGATCTTTCATACACAAGGCAGGATGCAATGAAACATAACTAAATAAATTATCCATGGCACCACATGCAGAATAGTTTGAAATCACTTATATGTATACAAACCTTTACAGCATGATTTCTTATCTTCCTGGGTGATCCAGCAAAAGGAACGTCTACAGTCTGTCTGTCATCAGATGGTTTAACTGTGAGCCTTTCTGCAGGAGTATGTGGTCTCCTTGGGAGAAAGTTTTTTGGAGGTCCAGGTGGAGGAATATCGGATGGAGAGGGTGGAACAGATATTGATCGTGGAACATCTAATGAACTTTTTGACTTACCACGATCAATAAAGTCTGAGGAACCTACATAAAGCGGGGCAGTGGGGCTGCCGTGCTTAAATTGCTGTCTCTGCTGCCACTCATACAGCTGCCAAACAGTTCCATCCTTATTTGCTTTCCTTTCCTCCTGGGACATCTTCAAGTGGCTAACACGATCTTGTGCATATTTGTAGTCACTCGGCAAATTGCGGTTTGGTGGTGGTGAGCTCCCTGAAGGCTGCCTGGTATTCTTTGGCAAAGTGTGATAGTTTTCAGGAAAAGGAGGATTGGGACCCTGACGTGTAAGAGTCTGATCAGAAGTGAGGCTGCAAAGAGAAGGGAAGAAAAGTGTAAATTTTAGCATACACTGATGAGAGGGAGTGACTGATAAAAAAAATCTCTAATGACGTAAGCACAGGAGCCACAAAACATAACATACAACAGTAATTTTAAAACAATTTACAGAAATATTATCAAAGTAATATTGACGAAATCCACCCTGCACAAAAATGTTACACTGTATAAATACAGGCTTTTAATTTAGTGTCTAACCTAGGATGAACTACTAGAAATAAACTAAAGGGAGGGTAGCATTTACTTAGACTAAAAAGAAAGTCAAGAACATGAAGAAAGGAATTATTGTTATGTTTAAAGAGTAAATCCACAAATTAAAATAGTCCCTTTCCCCGAAAGCCCGTTTACCACTAGGTGGTGCAGTTTACGAAAACAAATGCATGCTCATTACAAAAAATTATCTTAAAGTGCAAGAAGAAATCTCACCAGTCACAGAATATCTCAGATAATTTCTGTTTGTATGAATGAAGCAAAAAAAGGCAAGAAACTGCTCCAGGTCCCGAGGTCTGTATGTTTTACTTTCACCTAACGCTACTGGTTCTACTGTTTTATCAATACAAAGCTTTTTACAACAAGTCAATGATAAACTGGAATATAAAAGAGATGCAATGATCCTGGATTTAGTACTGCACCCATAATACACTAAAACTTCAGAAACTAAATATTTTAGCAGGTAAAGAGTTAAGACAGAACTGGCAAAAGCTCTGACAAACTGTAGTTAGCTCCCCCCTACTTTGAAGTAAAAATCTTTCCATAGCCTCATGCATAAGAACCTGCCTCTGTCTGAGCTCTGATTCTCCAGTCAAACATCTGGGGGTTTTGTACTTGCAGTCATTCACCCATGCATTCAGAATCTCCAACCAGAAAACCATTCTGCTAGACTTGCTACAGAGCACCATTACAAAAACTAAATAAAAACAACCAGAAAAACACAACTGAAGAAACGCTCAAGCACGTTCACCGTTCCACTCAATAAACTTCACTCTGCACGAGAGAGAACCCTCATGGTTTGGAAAATGCAGGGAATTCCACATGAAAGAAAGGGCAGGATGGAAAAGAACAGTCTTTGTTCAGCATCCAAGAACAACAGAAGCAGGGGAGAAGAATTGCTACCAGTAACTCCTGCTCAGTAGTTGCCTCTGTCTCCTCATACTTGCAGGATTTGGCACTGTCAGGTTGTCTTGAAATATGGATGCTCTTGAGAGGATACATAATTCCTCATGCCAGAAAGCAGAGTAACTGCCCTGCACCACAGAACCTTGACATTACCTCAGATTTCACAATGAAGGTTAAAGCAGGCAGGTGGTATGAACAAAGGTAACTCAAAGATCAGCATACAGTGGTCATGTAACCTCTTAATTGTCTAATTCACTACATCACATGTACTTTGTATGTTTTGTGCTTTGCTGCCCATTTTTTTCCACAGGAAAATCATGTTGTAGATAGTTGGTAGAAATGTATTTTCTCTAGACAGGAGTAAGGTCTAAGAAAGCTTGGAGTGGATAATGTTTTGAAAAGACATCTGAGGCAAGCATGAAATTAGGATAGAGCCCTTTCACAATTTCTCTGTGGAAAAACAGGGAAGAGGGCTTGACCACTCCCATACTCCAACCTAGTGGAGACCTCATGAAGGCATAAGCAAACTGCTGAATGTTGCGAACCATCTGTGTGTGGTTATTTTCTAATTAGACATTAAAGGGTAAACTATCGAGATCAGATGGAATTAATGGTAGTCAGTGAAGTCACCAGGGCTAGCAGCTTTAGGAGCAAAACCAGTCTGAAAACAAAGACTCCTTGAGCTTTGTTGGGGGTAGGGGGAATCACACCCTTCTCCTAGAAAAGAATGAATTTGTCTGATAAGAGCAGCTGGGAAGACTCATGCAATATTTCAGCCAACTAGACAAGAGAAGAAAGCTGCATGTGCATTACAGCAAAAGTCATGTGTCATACTCAGAGCAAATGCCTAAACACAGGCAGGTTGTGTTTCGTCAGTGCATGAAATAGGGACAAACCTCAAACTGAGATGACAAGCTTTGAGCCAGTGGCATCTCTACCACACAAGGTTTCAGTCCCTTAGAAATAATTTGCATTATATAAAAATAGGCACTCATTAATTGCTAGAAAAAGAACAATGTCCCAAATGACTCAAATTAGTCCACAACGGATTATGGACAATTGCTTTCTCAGGGATTAAGAGTAAAAATGAGCAAATGCAGCTGTTCTTGAGAATCTCTCTCTCTTGAATGATGAGATATAAAGAACATAAAAAAGAAAGCAGACATTGAAGAGTGAATAAATGGCCTGATGACATTTTATATGATTATTGGCCATGAAAGTCATTTGGGGCCTGCAATGGGAAGTAACTACACAGAAGATATTGTAAAAAGAGACAATAAATGTTGAAAAGAAAACAAGTATTATTATTAGAAACACTATAGCCTTTCATGGAAATGCACAGAAGCTAACAAAGACAAGTAATGTTTCTTCCTTACGCGAAGCAGGAAGGAACAGAAAGTTCTGCACAACAAGAAATGTTTTAACACTGCATTTGCAAGGAAGGAAATGTCTTAACATGACTGCATTTAGCTGGGGAATATTAAGCTTCATCAGGTTTAAATATTTTTTTAAGTGCAAATAAACTGCTAGAAATAGCTAATTCTTCACAATTACGCAGTGACTGTCTATGCAGGCACTGGAACCAGATCAAAACCTAGTAATTTCTGAACAGCTGCTGTTTGATGGTCCTGACCTTTAAGTACTTAAAACCAAAATCTCCTGAAAGCCTGCTTTCAAACCTTCTTCCAATTCTCAAGATCTCTCTCAAAGGCTAGCATGAACCTTACCAAAGCAGGTATTCCCATCTGCTGAGAACAGAGTGGGATTAGACGACTACACTGAATGTCACTGTAGTGCAGCTGAGAGTTCACTAAGAGAGGTGTATCTCTCAAGTGACAGCCAACATTTACAACTTAGCAAACAGTTCCAAGTGCTTTATAAAGAGGGGAAGTAAAATATCGATTTGAAAGATATAAAGATCTATATTAAAGGTGCAATTCCTGTAAATAATTCTATGAACAAATGTTGTATTAGTGTAAAGGTTCTAGCTGAAAGAGTTCTTTCTCATCATAATGAACTTGCTGGTAAGCATTGCATCTGTATACACCTGAGCCAGGACACAGATAAAACTGTACTCATTCTGTGTTCAAAAATTACCCAGGCTTCTGAAGCCTCAGAGGTTCTTTATTTGTAACATTTCAGCTGGAACAAGAGTCAACATGGAGTATTAAGAAATTAGTTGATCCACTAATATTTACTAAAATCAAAATGGAATGTCAATCAAATTATCATCTCTAGCTTAAATTTTATATCCTGTAATCAAGAAGATGTTTGACAACGAACATGCCACTTCTATCTGTCCGTTAACTACACTGCAACAACCTCAGCAGGCTGAGAGAAGGTGCCACTTAAAAGATCTATCAATCTTCAGGAGGGTAATGTGCAATTCATTCTGCACACAGAAAATATAATGCCATTTGCAGGGAAAGACAAAGAAAACAGGTCAACTGAGCTAAAATAGAACATTTTGAGATATATATATATATATATAAAAATAAATTTAGTTTCACTGAATATTTAGCAGCTCCAACTGAGGTAGCTGGCTTTATCTAGAAAAAAACCTGGCACCTGCAATACCACTATCTTCACACTACACCTGATACATGCCTAAAGTTAATTTACCGGAAAGACTAATGTGGAAGCAAACAATACTTAGTTAGCTATCAGTCAAGCCTGTCAGTGCCAATACTTCTGATGTAAAAAACACCAACAGAAGTTCTTCTAAACATTAGCTAATTAGATCGATAGTTTTCTATATTATTTTGGACAAATACATCTATGTGTGTAATAAGAACTAACTTACCAAGTACCTTTCTTCATTAAAGTCATATTCTTTTGGGTAGCACTGATTATATCCAAGTCAAAAAGATGCAAGTTAATTGACTCTAGCAGTCTATCAGAATGCTAAGTAATATCAAAAAGTAAGAAAGCTTCTTCAACGGTAATTCCAAAGATAAAAGAGTAGAAAAATGGACTTTCACACAAAATTAGCAAGTCTTAAATTTCTTACTGGCTCTGAAGTGACAAACGTTAGCCTCAACAAGCATTAAAAAAATGCCCAAAATGTCTTCCTCCTCCTAAAAACCATATGCCAATGTCTCTTATTTGTGTATATTCTAATAAAATTTTAGCAAATTTATAAAACACTGATTCAGTACATTAAGCATATTTGAAAAATCCTCACAAGGAGCATCAAGCCCAACTGTCTTTCCTGCCCCTTGACATGAGGTGACATTCTGAACAGATGCATAGATACATCACATCATTTTTTTCAACTGGTACTTAATCTGACTGCACACTTCAAAAGTAAAGCAATTATGGGATTTTCAAACTACAAAAGCATTCCAGAGTGCATTCCTCCTATTGGTGCAATTTATGTAATTTTCAGGGACTGAAAAGGGAAAAGAGAATCCTGGAGACCATGGGAACATCCTAGCACCTCTGCATTAACTAAATGAATATATGGAGACCTTTCAATATGTGATGCACACTGTGACTTAGTGCAGTGATCTGATATAGAGAAGTGAATGGATGTTTGGAACAGGAACAGAAGGCAAAAGAAAAGCAATCAGCACTCTTTTAAGTGGAAAACAAACAATTATCTATAATTTATACTGTGCAGTTGTTTATGAATATGAGGTAACTGAGAATTGCACTTCACTTTCCGGCTCTTCAAAATTTAAGCAAATTTTAAGAAGTTTTAAGTATCCACAGTGATTAAAAACAGTAAAAAAACCCCAGCATGCTACTCTCACTTATTCTGTTCGCAATATTGTGACAACAATAAAGAGATTTGATTAGCCAATCCCGTATTAACTTTCCCATGAGATAAATGCCTGAAAACTACCATTCTGCACTGAAGGAGAAAGTAAGTTTTCTTATATATTGTCTCTGTAAAGTATCATTCTGATTTGCACCAAAGATACTACTAACACATATTTTCCTTTAGCTTAAGAAAATGCCAGTTGGCAATCTATTTAAAGATGGGCCTATTACTAACCTTTTTGTGTCTCCTTTTTGGACTTTTACCCAGTGTTCCACTTGAGCCATGTTACTTTTTCTTTGAAACTGCTTATCTGGATTTGTTCTGGGAACAAACCCTCTTTTATATGAGCCAGTACCATTCTGCTCCACTAGGCCAGCACTCACACTTAATGAACTAGGAAGGGTTCCATTCTTCTCAGCTGGCTGAGGCTGAGCTACTTGGGACCACGATGCCTTCGATGCATTCGTTAAGTCTGGAAATAATGAATCAGCTTCTGTTAACGCATGCTTGGCCTTTCCCTTTTTAGTTTCCAGAGTTCCTTTTCTGTGGATGTAACGCTCTTCCTCCTCCTTTTCTCTTCTTATCTCTTCACGCTTATCATATCCAAGCATTTCAGCTGATTTTTGATAACTTTCTTTTGTATCTGTATTCTCTGCCTTCACACACTCTTTACAGGCATCCACATGATTGACTTGGGGAACAGCTTGCTGATCCACTTTTGCAGTTTCTCTGGAAAGAAAATACATGTCAGTAATGAACACTGCTTAATTGTGAAAAATTGATGCGATCTCATCACTCTTTCAGAAAGAATACCCACAGAAGTACCTTCTGCAGGCTGTGATATATTTGACATGTTAAGACAGACATGTACAGCAAAACTCAGTTGTTATCCCAGTTAGACAAAAGTTACCTTTACAGTGTTGTCAAGGAAGCAGAAATTACTTATATGCATCTGTAAAAATGACTGAAAATACTAATTTTGTCAAAAGAAGCATTCAACTTGCATAATATTATGTATAAAAAGCTGTAAAAGCGAAAGTCTTCCTATCCTAGGAAAGACTGAAAGCCAAAAAAACCAAAACCAAACTGCCAACTGCTCGTTGCAAAATAAAAAAAAGTCTTTTCATATCTTTGTAGATGCTTTAGGAACTAGTCATTTCTGGCCAAGAGAACAGAGCAATATCTACATTTGAGTCAATACAATTGTCCAGGGAATTTCTAATAGGAGGGCTATTTCTGAAAAGAAGGAAAAAAAAAGAAAAAAAAATGTTCATTGCTCCTAACACATGCTTCAGGTGCACCCTAGTTTACTTATTTACCTTATTGCCTAAATATTTCAAAAATTCCACACCAGAAATCTTAATATTAAACTCTGAACACACTATACTAAGTTCAGCTTCTTTATGGAAGGCAAATTCTGAGTAACACAATTGTTTTCACTTCAGTCTACTTAGAAATGAACAGTCTACTTAAGAGGAAGGACACTGGATCAATACTTCTAATGTGCCAGACCTCCTCAATGTTTCTTTTAATTATTCCTGTCCTTGTAAAGAAGATAAAGAAAAATCTGGGTACCAGGTTATATGTTACTTGAAATTTAAATGAAATCCATAAAGTCTTAATACAGGATGCAAAGCTCTGGAAGAGTTGTTGATCCTTTGCTTTATTTGACTGGCCAAAAGAAAGCAGCAGTGCGAGATACTCTGAGAAAATGCACATGACACTTAAACCCTCACAGCCCCGCTGGTTAAAAGCAGGGTTGTCTCACTGTTCAGAGTCTTCTTTCACATGCAGTTGTAGGGAAAGAATCAAATTTCAAAGTCAAAACATCAAGAAGGCTACATCAATTTTAAGAAAAGGAAAAAACTGGAAACACGTTTTGGCACAGCTGAATTTGTTCATAATCAGTTCATAAATGCATTAATTAGTTAATATCCATTAACCCTCTGCACTTATGATTTACCCATCTTTAACATTCTTTCCCCCCTTAATAGCACTTTAATCCAAGTTCTAAATGCTCATTTGAAACAAGTCATTAGACTTCTGTCCCTCCTCTTTTACTTATCTCTCCAAAGGATGCCAATTGGCTCTCACAGGTGTAAGAATTTGCTCACAGAAACTGTAACTTTTTAACTGCAATTCTCTAAAATATTATATATATATATATATACAGAAATTAATCCATGTCACTAAATGTGAGCACACAATCTGATGTACACACAACTACCAAACACCAGATTTTCCTACTTAATATCAGTGCAAATGATTTGCAACAGAATGTGAATGAAAATTAATTATTTCTTTAAAAAGGGAATGAGTTTCATGCACGTATTTCCAAATAACACTTTCGGAAATCACCGTGATTTCCAAGATACAACTCAAACGTGGTTTATATAACATATATTTAATTTAAAAAGCCAACAGCTTCTGTATGGAACTTGCCTCTTCAGTGAAGAGCGTGTTTGCATAAGAGCAGCCTGGTTCATAGCCCGGATCCAGCTATTCATGTCCTCCTGGGTATCAGCACTGAAGTAGTATGTCCGCATCCCTGAATGCTCTGCCTGAGAGCCAATAACAGAATTCTTATTATAAATATATGCCCTCATACCTGTATGAACAGCCTGGGAGGAAAAAAAAAAAAATAAGAAAGAAAAATCAGAACAGCTCTTTCATTTCTCCCCCCCTCCCCCAAAAAAATTTACTGAAAAAAAACCCTTTTCAGATTCTTTGGCTGCTTCTTGAATTTGGGGCAAATTATCACACTGCCAAAATGGGCTGTAGCGCAGTAAACTCAAAGGGCAGCCCAATTTCTACTGAAATTCCTCTGCCTCCTTCTAGAACTATTAACCTAAAATTACAGTGTCTTCTGTTTTTCATAGTAGGAAATTTCAGCTTTTGATTTTCTTTTAATTGATACATTTAATTTGTAATAAATACTATACTAAACAAATCTAAGAAATCCTCGATAAGACATGCATAAGCAAGTCAATTTTCCCAGCTCATTTAATAAAGCAATTTATTCAGACAAAACACAGACAAAATTTTAAGCAATTAAACTGCTTATTCAAGAATTGATTATAATGCCTGTTAAGATCTTTTGGTTACAGCGTGCACTTGAACGCGTATTAGCTGCAAAATCACAAGATTTACTGATAAAGTTAGTAATCCTGACGGAATTATCACAGCACATAATATATTGACAAATATCTCTGCACACCAAAATATTCCATGAAATTCCCTACAAACTAGAGGTATTTCTCAATTCCTCTATAAATATATTCAATATTCAAATGTATTCAATGTGGAATGTCTTTGTATCTCTAGGCTAGTTGAATTTAATAAAATCTTATCCACATTTGTATTAGCAATAGTATAGATATTACTAAGTCATACCAGTCCTGAAACACTTACTATATATCCTCAAAGTTACTTTACAAATGTGCTTCAGATTAGTAGGGAGAGATTCATCTCCCTGCTTTCCAAAAAAACCTGAAGACTGTATACTCTGCTTCAAAGCTCTTTTATGATATTAAAATGAAATTAGTTAATTTAAACTCCATTTCATAAAACTAAATCTGCTATCACGCAGAAAAACTAATAGCATGAAACACTGCTGAGACAGGGGGTTTTTTAAAAGAAAAAAATATCAACTTTTTAATTTGGCCACATCTTCTTTTAGAGGTTAAGTGTATTTCGCAAACCTTCCCTAAATAATTGGTCTCTTTATAGTGAAGAAATCTTCTCCCCATCGTTATTCCAAATTAAATAAAAAACGACTCTACAATCACAGATGGCTTCAGAAACACAACAATAGATTTGACCAAATCCAGTGCAGCCCTCCCTAAATGTTATAATTTCAGTTGTTTACCCTGAATTTCCAAAATTACCATAACCTTAGAGATTTGTATCAACAACTCCAAAGAGCAAAATATGTGCTTTCAAATTCTGTGGAAAAATGTCCTCCCTTTCTATGGCCTTTCCCTTCTGGGCCCCAAGCAAGGAAGCCTGAGTTTGCTTTGAAAACCGGAGATGAGCAGAACAGTCAGCTACAAAAAGAAGGAGCAGGAGAAGGAAGAGGAAGAAAAGGTTGCATAAAGAAGTCCAAGATTCTCTCCTGCTTGACAGAGCCGCTGTTTTCCAGTAGTGTTGGCCAATAAGGGAATACAAGGTGATTTCTCCTCCCCTTCCACCATTAGCTACCTACCCTAATACAGAAAAACAGGACCTCCATACATTAAACAGTAGCTCTGATCAATCACATATTTAGGAATCAAAATATTTTGTTCATGTTTGCCTGGTTGAGTTCTTTGGGTTTTCTTTGTTGTTACCGAGGGTAGTCTTTTTCTTTTTTTTTGTGCCATTTTGAGTGCACTTAAATACTCAAAGCAAATATGATTTAGAAGTATTAATTCAAATTTATGTTTAGTGTCCAGTGTACAAAGAGACAAAAACTAGCAGCTTCAGATATAAAGGAAAACAGCGATTTTAATGCAAGACTTTAGGACTACATTGCTCCTTCAGAGATCACGTTTGAGTCTGTAGAATGTGTTAAAATTCAGAAGTGAATTTTCCTGCAGAAAACCAGACTACAGATGGTGCAGTAGGACCCAATCATTAACTGGTTATACACTTGCTTAAAAGAAACAGAAGCTTCGGTAACTATCAGCAGTGACTGTGTGGCACATCCCAATCAACATAACCCACCTGCATTTTAGGTTCTCTTTCAGCTGTGCATGCTGAACACAGCTGAAAGCACTGCCTAAGAGGCTCTGGGTGAAAACAGTATAAAAATGCAAACAGTGTCGCACCATTCTCTCTAGAGACTGGAGCTATCACAGCCATAAACATTCACAGCTTCAGAAGGGATAATAGAGACGGTGTGCAATCAACAAACACAACATTCTGAAGTTTGTAATATAAAACACCGGTTAAAGGAAAATTCAAATTTATTTTGGTTATTTATTAGTAGCATGTCTTATATGCAAGAAAGCACAATTTGTGCCAATGGCCTGTAGCTGTAACTGCTAGCAGACAGAAGCTAGCAGGTTTTTTGTTTGTTTGTTTGTTTTTTAAAGCAAAAGCCATTAGGATGACTACAGCATACTAAAAAGCCTAAAACACAGCACATGCGCACATGTACGCCATACACACAACGGGGAAAAAATAATATTGGTACCTATTCATGCATTCAGGTGCCTTAATGGAGATACACTGAGAAGAAAAGCAGTCTCTCTCCCATAGTGCACAGTAGGAGAAATGGACAGTAAACCCCAAGAGCATATCAACAGGACAAGACAAGGACAAAAAGTTAAACAAGTTAAAATCAGTAAAAGATTCATGTTTCCAAGACAATACTTAATAAAAGACTATACTAAAAGTAACTAATGCCAACAGCAGTTGTGTTCACCTCCACTTGTTCAAAATTCCTAGAGGAGAATAAGCCACTACTCACAGAACAAACGGATGGGGAAGGGAATAGTTTTCTAATAACTGTAAACTTTCAAAATTAGTTCTCTCAATAACCTATAATGTACAAGAAATTCTCCCTTCTCCTGAAGTTTGATATTTATGAACCACTTATGAGGAAAAATTGAAATAATACTCTGACCTGCCACTACGAACTCAACAACAGCACACTACAATCTAACTCATCTTTCACCCTCAAATAATATTGAGCTTTTTAAGGACTTGTAGAAACTTGAGCTCTCCCCTCTTCCAAATTTTAAAATAGCACCTCTCAAACTTAAAGCCCTTGGTACTTCTTCACCTGACTCCCCAGACCCGGAGAAGTTCTATAAGCAATATGAGAGCCTAAGGAAGCAACACGGATTCAGAGAACATAAAGGAACAAACTGTGTCAAATTTCTTGGTTTTTTTAGGAAAATCACTGAGATCAAAGAAACAGATAGGAAGTTTGCCCTGGTCCGAGCAGGTCTAAGCAATGAATAAATACTTTCATTAGGAAGACCTAGAGTGTCAGTAATAAAGAGATGTCTTTTTAAACCCAAGCTGCAGTAGCCTCCTCTGGAAGTAATGATTTGGCCTGGCTTCCGAGGCTCTGAATGCCCTCATCCTGAAGAGGTGAACCTCTGAAAAAATTTTAAAAGTAGCATCAAAATAAAAAGTTGTAATTTGTGTCTCCAACGCTACTTCCTACCTCTTACAGAAACACCAGAGCATTCTTCACTGGCTTTATTTGGTACCAAGATATGTACCTAGATAAAAAGATACACTTGCATATACTGTCTTTGCATGAAGTTTTCTTGTTTTCTTTACAGCAAACTTTGGTAGCCCTTCCAAATTTCTCAATTTTTATTACTGTCACACTCATATAAATATGTCTACTTTCAGTATTCTCTCTTATATTTTAACACACATAAGGCTAATTAAAAATAACTTCCATGACTGAGGACAACAAGGTTTCTAAAGAGACTGTGATGACATGAACTTTCATCAACTGATACTATTCATGTTTAAAACTGATGTATTACTAAAACATACAGTCAATTCTCTGTTAATCACAAGGAGTATTTCCAGGCAAACATTAATGTTGTGTAAACCTTTTCACATTATAAATCTAAACACTGGATTTGTGCTCACCTACATTTGTATCAACAAAAAAATTACTGTACTTTAAAATACAGCAATTAATTAAATATCTTTAGGACACTGAAGATGAACTAAATATGCAGTAAGAATCCTGAGTTCTAAGCTGTCACATAGCTTAGTGACAGTAGCTTACAGCTAGTCACGGCACTTGGCTTGGGCCAAATAAGTAACATGAAAAAATTGTGAAGATAAAGACTTAAAGCAGAGTTTCTAAACAAAACAATTTAACACACATACTGCTACACTTCAAAGTAGGGGTTTGATTGCATTTGAAAAGCCTGTACTCAGTTCTGCAGGCCTATGATTGTTAAACACCCAAAGAGACACAAAAGCTTAAAGCTGGGCCTCAGGAGGTGATGAATGGAAAAGGATTTTGAGAACTCCTGCAGTGCACATTTTAAGTCAGCAGGGTTTAACACACATGCCCTACTGAGCATGTATTTTACAAACCTCCTAATTAAATGATGTGCAAAAAGCATCCACGTATTTGCCATGAGAATTTTCTTCCTCTAGTATTGCAAACAAAAATGTTGATTTTTTTGGTGCAATTTTACTGTTTCTCTTGCTTCAAAACTCATTGTCACTTAAAACAGCCACTTAAAATGGGAGCCAATATTTCTACTGTAATACAAGATTCACAATAATCTGAATAAAAGACAGGACAAATGCAAAAAGTGACACAGCACATTCTCCCACTCATTCAGGTCTTAAATGCAAAAAAGTCTTATCTTTATTTTGGGCTTAATCTGCTTGTGTGTTCTATTCCTGGCTGCACTACACTGCGAGACAGAATGTCCGTCTACGCTCTGGATATCGAAGTGTTCTGAGGAGATTAGATAAAGGTAATGGCTGGTGAGTGATGGAATGCCAGGACGGCCGCGCTCCCGCTGCTGTGTGCCCACAGCCGACTCTGTGACCGCTGAACGGCAGTGTTGGATAGGGTCCATACAAACAGGAATCTTACAAAATCCTCCTACTGCCCTAGGAGTTGGTTCTAAATTAAATAAAACCCCAGCATCAAGCCTGCAGTCAATCATCAAACACCTAAAGCAGAGTTAAAATTGGCCCGATAAACTAATACATGAAATGTTGAGGGTTTTTTTATAGAGATTCCTAACATAAACTTTCTTTTGCTATCAACACCCTATTTCTATCTTTTAGTAATGAGCCCGTGTTGAAAGGCTCAGGTTTCTGGCTCATGCTGATTTTCAGAAAAAGACTCAGATTAAAGAGCTGGTAGAGCTCATATAGGTATGATACGTTAAATGGAACAAGAGAAGTCAGCATTTGCTTCCGAAAATGTTTAACCACGATCACACTGTGGATTCTGCTCCATGGGAAAGGAGAGCCACAACTTGGCCAGTGGTGACTGAAGAGCATGTGTGTAAACACTGTTTCACTAAAATAAAAAGCAAGGAAGCCTAGAAGAGCATATTGAGTTCTTCTCTTTCAGTATATACTTCTTGCTAGGAAAAGGCTCTAGAAGAGGAAGGCTTTATGAATCACACTCAGTAAATACTGGAATGGAATGTTTTTCTCAAACAAAGGTTCCTTTGTTGCTTATCCTGCTATCTCATGCTCAGTGCATTTGAAAAAGTACAATAAATATTTCCACAAAGTGCACTGAGTCTTTTTAAACACATTTCCCAAGTTAATATTTGTTTGATAAATTTCAAACCATAGAACTGAAAGTAGTAAGAGGCAGCCTCCATTTAAAAACTCCCCTAAAAATCAAAATGCAAGAGAAAATCTAGTCTGAGCAGACATTCTTAATAATTTCAGCACAGAAAACATTTAAACAGTTTTCTTCTAGATCTCCTAAAGTATGCCTGATCAAAACCTGATTTGTAAATTATTTGTTAAAGTATGCAGCTCATTTAATTGACAGAAAAACCAGTTCTGCTTCAACTTCTAACTATATCAAATAAGAGTACTTTTTTCTTTAAAAAGTCCATGCCACTTAGGATCACTGTAGCTTCCTCCCAAAAAAGGACAGAAAAATTGGTTACTCTTTTTCCCTCTGAAATCAGGAAAATAAACACCAAAAGCTACAGTATTGTAATTTTCTAACTGTGAGAACTGAGCTATTTCTTTTATTTATAAAAAACCACAACAAAACCAAACAGACATCAGTCCTTTATGAAATCAGGTACTCTATAAATAAGAAAATTTTTCTTTCAATTTGTAGACAGTACTGGAACAACTTATTGATACTAATTTCTGATTTTAGAAACAGGATCTTTACTCACAGACACTTCATTAAGCTCTAAAGACACAAAGTAACAGACATGAATGTCAATTCATAAGCAACAAAAAAGTGCTATGTCACATTCGAACAGGCAGCCAATAAACCAATCTACTTTTACAAAATAATAACAAACAGAAGAGGAAAACAGATGTTGTTTCTGTTTACAGAAGCAGCATTTCTAACGCAAATAAACTACGACTGGTTGATAAGGCTTGTATAAACTGTACCTTAAAAGAAAATTTGCGATTTATACGATCTTCAGGTCCAACTGGAGATATGACATAACTAGGCAATGGTATGCTCCCCAGAACAGATTCTTCTCTGCTATCTGTTGAATAAAAAAAACAGAATTTAATTCCCTGCACTATTCAGGGGGCTAACAACACATTCTCCTTTATGGACACACAGACAACAGGCGTTCAGTAGAAAGAAGAGCGGTTCAGACTGGACATAAGGAACATAATTTTCCCCATTAGGACAGAGTAGCCGGGGAACAGGCCAACCAGGAAGGCTGTGCCTTCTCCATCCTTGAAGGTTTTCAACACCTGACTAGATTAAGCCCTGAGCAACCTGGGCTGACTCCTTTCCTGATCCTGCTTTCACCAGGCAGTAGGACAAGACACTTCCTGAAGTCCCTTCTGACCCGAACTCACTTATGACTCAATAGCAATCATACACAGAAAAAAAATGTTCTATTTTTAAAGAAACAAGATTGATTTTTTTTTAAATCAGACTGGTTTTTTACTGAGGGTTTTTCTTTTCTTGGATGGTGACTGGGTGGATGTTGGTTTTGTAGGTTCAGCCAGAAGAATACACTTCAAGAATAAAGGTTATTGTGCCAAATGAACTGTGACAGGCTGCATGACATGATGGACCTTCCATTTAGCATTGTTCATCTAGGCTAATTGCTATAATTAGGAAATCTCTATTACTGCTGGCTCTAAGTGATCATCAGCAGAAATGCAGCTCCTGGGAATATGAATTCCAACTTTCATGTTCTGTAATCCTTTCAATCTTGAAATGCAATATTCAAAACTTGAAAATAGCCTTATGTAATACCATTATTCCTAATTTGGCCTAAGATCACATCTAACCTTTTTTTGGTAGATTACTGGATCCAGAAGTTCACACTCTTACATCGTCCCTTGGATTAAAGCTGAATCAGTACCCTGATCTGGTCATAGCACGTTCTCTAAGTGCAAGCAGGTAGGTAACACAACACAGACCAGAGATGGGATAAATCTAACTTACTGCAGTCAAGTGTTCTGCACTGTAAACCTTGGCATATATCAAAGATAAGTTATATGACAAAATATCAAACAGCATCTCCTGCTTCCCCTACTCTAGCCCAAAATCTGCTGCGCATTAGAAATCTGTGGACAAACAGTTGTTTCACTACTCATCTTCTCAGAATACCTAACTATAGCTGAACAGTTCAATTAGTTCACTAATTTAGTGTGATTTGTACAGGTGAACTGCTACAGACTAACTCAAAACAGCTAGTATGTACTCACCTTTGTAGTAAAACAAACAATAATCAGCAAGCACAAACCATCGTCTTTTCCATAATCGCATTCCAGAGCTATCCTGAAATGCAAGAAATGCAAAACACTTTTCATTTAATGGAATTTAACAGCTTATCATACAATGCTGATCCAGTGCGTAGTTTACCAGAAGTTTACCTAAATATGATTAATAATTGCAAAACAAGGGGTTTATATTTTAGCAAAACATTATGTACTAAGAAAGATAAGAGGTAAAACATCCAGCTATAAAATAATGAGGGCAGAATATTCCAACTGCTAATTTTCATTAAATAATTAAACTTGCACCCCAAACAGCATTCAGATTAACCTTACACACAACCAATGCATATTTTATCTACACAGATTTATCTCCAATAAAGAAACAAAATATGCTTCCAGGTGTCAAAAACTCCAACAAAAACTGCCTGTAGACCAAGACAAAAATCACTACACAAAACTGTGAAGTACGACATCGGATTTCAGGCAATGATATCCTATAATTCTACAGTCAATCTCCATATGTTACTCCTGCCTAAAACATAATTTAATAAAATATTCCTTAGGAAATAAAACTGGGTGTATAATGTGCAAATTTTAATGAAGTATAATATAATATGCCTGTGGAGATCTATATATATATCTCTCTATCCATATATATATATATCACCTTGTCAAACTGAGTAATATTTGCATTGAAATTAATTTTAGAAGCTTGTAAAATTGCCAGACTGTAACCTAAGGAAGTACAGCTTATTCAGCTCAGGTAGCTTTGATAAGACCACCAGCATAGAAAGCATCTTCAGGCTTTAAGAGTTTTCGCAAGCAGAGGTAGGGGGACAGAAGGAAACAGGATACACAACACTGCTCCACCTATTTCCCTCCTCCTTTCAAATTAAGTATGCAGGGACTTTCTTCCCTTCCCATTTTCATGCTACAATGTTGTCAACACACACTGTGTCCGAGTTCTGATTCTGTCCTGAAAACTAATGGACTTGGGTAGGAGATGTCAACAGAGCTGAGACCAGAACACAGCAGAGTTACAGCTCTCCAAACAGGAGGAAGTGAACGGCTGCCAGCAATTTCACTTCCCTCTACATGTAGAATCATAACTGTAAGCCTCAGATTTCAGCCTCTCCTACTCATCCCTAAACTTGCCTGCTGGATCTCTGGTGATAATCTGGTGGACGCTGACTGCCAAATTAGAAGTAGGGAAGTATTCTCATACAACAAACAGCTTTATTTATTTATTGCACTTAGGGATGTGCTTCTGTCAGGCTTAAAGAGTTCAAGATGTAGCATCTGTAGAATTCTGTTCTCTGATGAAATTCTACAATTCAGCCTTTGCTGGATACTGTTCTTGGTGACAGTAATGTCTGGTGAATGGGTCCCTGTTTCCCATAATTTTCTCCCTCCTGCTTTTGGAGAACAAAAGGTATGTGGGTTGGAATTAAGCCTTGATCAGGGCAGAATGACATAAGCAAGCAAATGGAATAAGGCCCTCACAGCCAAGGTTGTGTTAGATGTGATCTGAGGGAGACCAAGATCATTATGGCAGGAAGCCACCAGGATTAAATAGGGAAAATAACCAGATTTAGACAACAGTGTTACAGCCTCAACATTTAACCATGATGGTGATGTCCATTTATCGTTTCCACTTCCGAATCAAATCTGTATGTAAACCTTGGTTTTCACACTTGCTGACCATAAATTCCTCATTACAGAAGCCTGTGGGAATATCCAACACTGCCCTCTGTCACCAACACTTGAGCTTCTGCTTTTTCAGTTACTTGGAAGGCACTTGCTTTTACCTGATGACTGCGTTGAAGTATATGAACAGAAACTGGTGATCACGTGCATACCTGTTTGTGCAGCCAGCCTCTTACTATAACAGGAACATTGGGATTCCTCCTGATAGCTTGTTCCCTCTTTCCAAAGCTATGAACTTTGCTTCCAGCCTTCACAACCTGTAAAGAAGTACAATGTACCAGTGGTTTTTAAACTGTACTGAGATTCACTTCATATTGCAAATAACCTCATTGCAATAACTCATACTTCATTAAACACTAACAAAGTATTCATAGCATTTTCAAGGGCAAGTAAACAGGTAATGATATTTACAACACAGCAAAGTCAGTCTTCCACTTTCATCAACATATTATTGCCAGGATGGTCTGCCAACTCCCAGCTGAACAGCAGCAGCACTGATGTGTCAAGTCAGAAAGGCAGAACTATGGAAGTTTTAGTGTGCCTGGGAAGTATTATTGAAAGCTGCAGGCAAATCTGTCTCTGGTAGCTGGGTGTCAATGTGGTACAAGTCTCTTCCACGCACAGGACTTTGTGCAGATGAATCCTATTCTTGCTCTTCTTTGTTTGGGTTTTTTGTGGTTTTTTTGGTTGGTTTTATTTTTCTTTCCTGTTTAAATTCAAACAACATTGATAGCTTAATAAAATGCTTGGACTTTGACTCTGCAAACAAAAGGAGAAGACAGAGTGACGCTCAGGAAGGGAAGAGGCCTAGACAGCAGTAAATGGAAATCACAAGAATTGGGTAATGATTTGTGTTACTGAAACCTCAGTTTTGACTCACATGGGCAAAACTATTTCAAAAACAAACACAGAAAGCCCATCCATCTGTGAAAAAGCAAGAACCTCTGGATGAATACTTTGCCTGTTCTTTTCCAACCGCAGCACAGTTTGCTCCTCCAATGGCTTTAGGAATCTGAGATGCACAAACCACCCTTACAGTTGTGCCTGACCTCTCCAAGAAAAGAACTGTCCAAATTCCTTCCTACAATGTCTCCCTTTTTAACCTCTTATCTCAGCTCATCAGATGCTTTGTGAGCTGCAGACAAACAACAGCTCTGGAAACAAGTACATTTGTCATGCACAAGGGATAACATCAGAAAAATATCTCATCATACTGCTCCTGCCAGTCAAGCTACATTTGGACTAGAAGACAACATATATAAATAACAAATTATTCCAGCAATATATGATAATTTTAAATGGATTCTGTTAATTTTGAGGCCAAGCTTTACCAGCCTGCACTGTATTTCCCATCCTTATGAAGAGTTAAGATAATAGTTATAAACAGTAAGAAAAAAAAATTACTTCTTTGGTACTATAGCATATAAAACAGTGACACAGATGTTAAAACTTGTAAGGAGCTGTCAAAGGGCAGATTTTCCTAGGTACTTTCCCCCAGGTGTGCTCCCCAGGAAGCAGCATGCTGCTTCCAGCTCTGCTGAGGAGTCAGGTGAGCTGCACGTCACGGTCATTTCAGTGAAACGCCCTGAGATTCAGGTGACAGGAAGAATGCCAAGTCTGGGCTTTTCCCTGGGAGTGACACCTCACCAGACACCTTGGTGAGAGCCTGCACAAGAGTCAGCTGTGCTCCAGGGCAGCACAGGTGATCACCTGAGCAGACAGTTCTCTAGGGCTAACACAAACGCAAAAGGCCAGGGTGTAAAAAGCAACTGGTTTCTAAGCAGGTGCCCCTGACACCCAGCTGCCAAGAACCATCTCACATTAAAAGTCAGGTAAGGATGGTACTGCCAAGATCTCCCAGCCCGTTTCTCTGCCATACCTGTGCTAAGGCACACAACTAACAGGCTGCACCAGCTTTGGGCAAACACAGAGTGTTGACTAAGACCACAAAAATATTTCTGGGTACTCACTCACAGACTTTCAAACAGCAAGTCTGACACAAAAGGAAGGAAGAAATAAGATGTTAGGCATTTTGTGTTTGCTACTGAAAATATTTCAAAAGATAACTTGCAAACCTGTGTCCAAATACCATTTTAAACAAACACACAAGGGTGTATCACGAAGACAGCCAAGCTCTGGATGATCATACCATGTCCAAGCCATATATGGGGGATTTTTAAGAAAAATGAGAAGTAAACATTTCAGTGGAGTTTTAAAAAATTGTTGCCAAAAGTTAAGATGCAACAACTACAAGGGTAATAAAAATAATGAGGCCCAAATTTTTTAAAGCTCTGAATGTGAAAAATTTACACTGTGCACCTGAACAGAAATCAATTTACAAAATGTACAGAAGTTAGTTTCCAAATTTTTCTCTCATAGTTATCCTTGGAAGGCTGGATGAACTGAGGAACAGTTAAAGTACAGCTGATCTAGCCTTACAGCAGCATTTAAATTTGGTATTTTTCATCAGATCCCTTGTCAGTGGGCAAGCACATTGGTAGTCTCTGATCTTACTTAATTTTAAAAACATGCAGACCATAACATAAAATAACAGTCATCCTTGGACTTGGATAAAAGACCAAACAATTTCTATTGCATTGGAGGAGGAAGGGTTTTCCCAAGTCTGTGTATTCTGTATCAATACAACACCCATAATGGTAACAAAACTATAATTTTATGGTGCTTTATGTAATTAAAATTCTCATATCATCTTCAGTATTAATCATCTCATTCTGCTCTGGACTAAAACAAAGCATAACAGACACTGCAGGTCACACCTTGCTTCCACTGACTAGACTAAAAGAAAAGGTATGTATTTTAAACTACTTGTCTGTATTGCAGTAGTCTTTTCCTAACTTAAATTATTCTGATATCATTGTCATGTGTTGAAAAACGCAGGTCAGCACAGCTGTCTGTGTCACTGAAGACACAGGAGTCACTTTGACTTCAGTACATTTGTTATGCTGACTTTGTGAATGGCACTTAAGTTTTTGTGGGGGAAAAAAAAAATCAAAGAGCCAAAGTTTTCAAATCCCTTTTCAGCACCAGCATCACCTCATCTTCTTCCTTACAGCACCCTCTAGATGAGAAGAAAAGTTGCTAACTTAATTACAAAATATGATTGTTTTTTTAAACTGGACAGTCAAAAAAAATCTGGACAGACTTATTTGGAAGAGATTTTCTAAATAGTAAAAACAAAGACTGCATCTTGGTCAAAGTATGTAAATATATTCACATAAGAGAACATATATATTTCAGTCTGGAGGAAATTAAAAAAAGAAAGGTAAAAAAACCCCTACCTGCTTAAGTCAAACTCTTTCATTAAAAAATCTCAGTGTTTCACTTAGAAATGAACTTATGAATTCTTTCAGTATCTCTAAGAAAATGATAGAAAATCCTTATTTTTCAGATAGGAAAAAACGAAACTCCCAGAAAATCCTGCTCTTCATTTTGAGCATTCATATACAGTGGCCATGAATTAAACATTGTGCTCTACACTCCAGCTCCAGACAGTCCAACAAAGCTGGCACCAGCACATACCTGTCACCACTGCCTGTTCCTCCCAGCCACTAGGCTCATTCTTTACTTATTGTATTTCTCAGCAGTTTATCTTGGAAAAATACCAGCAACTATCAGTGTCATCAACAATTACTTCTCTTATGCAAAATCCATCCAAAACACACTCTCAAAATGTAGGTAGTAATAAATACATTACACTAATCTTCTTTATGTTCTTAACTTGCCCCAAGTCCTGTGTAGCATACTAACATTTACAAACTTCCATTCAAACCATCAGATGCTTTAACAGACTAAATTCCCAATGTACCAGACTCTTTATTCCTCCATATCATTCATTTTTAATCAACAGAAATGGCTTTTAATATGGTACTTGAATTGGCTATGAAGCAGATCTTTGGGACACAGAACGATTGCAGTTTATCAACATGCCATTTTGCTTTTCATTCCCTCAACCCAGTACTCCTCAAATGTCAAAAAGCATTGGTCTGTAGATTGCATTGGCCTGAAGTCTTCAGATGACTTACTCAGACAGTCCCTCCATCAAAATGGTGCACAAGAATCTACGTGCATTTCTGCAAAACTGCCCATCTCAGCTGTCTTACCAAACAAAGGCAATTACATATTTATATGCACATCGATGAAACATAATGACATTTTGGTAAATAAGAGCTTTCATTTTGGCTTTTTTCTTTGTCTTCTTTTCAACATGCTGCTCTTGCTGTACACTGTACAACTGACACTGTTGTAAAGAGATTGTGAAATTCTTTTTTCAAAGAATCAAGTTCAGACCTGAGCACTGCAACAAGCAAGCCAGAAGTTTTCCTTTGATCTTGAACTGAAAATGACAGATCTGCTGTACATTTGGCAGCTTACCTTCCCCCCCCTCCACCCCAAATGTGGCAACTCTTAGGTGCCAACTTTCCACAGAAGAACCATGTGGAAAGCCATGTACCTGTTCCTGCACTTTCTGATTTGGTATTACATCAATGTGCATAGCTCTGTGTTAAAAAAAACAGTTTGAATTTGGCGAGGATTTCAACATTATGCATACACCATTCTGTGATGGCATTCGTAGGACAAATGACAGCATTTCATAAAAGATGGTGATTAGCCATGGCTAGGTAGAGATCTTTACCATGAACATGTCTCTGCCTTCATCACTGTCTGCATGTCTGCAACTGGAAACTCACTCTTTGAGAGAGAGATTATGGAATTCACGGAAAAAAACCACTTTGATAAAAGGACCTTAAAATCTACTCTCAACCTGCCAAAAGTCAACTTCAAACAGAGGACACAGGTTATTAATTTTATAGCCTTTGTTCTCATTGTTAGTTCACTTGAATTAATTTTTGTGTTAGGCTGTGAAGGAATTCAACAGACCTTCCGACTACAGAACGAGAGAAGTGATTTCAAGCCTGGAAACACAAGCAATGATGAAACAAAGCATATAGAAGAAACATGGTGGTTCTCTGTCTTAATTAACCCAGTATTTATTAAGGGCCAGCAGCAGGATGGATCTCATTAAAACAACCTTGGTGGAGAAGCAAAGTACAGGCAAGCCCTCTGCAAAAGCTCTATTCTAAATCTAAAGCTGCCATGTATTAAAAAAACGCCACACCTGGGAGCCTGCCAGAAGCATGTGTGGCCACATTCATACTGGACTGCAAACAGAACAGAAGCAGAGACCAAAACCAGACAAACTGAAGTTTTGGGAGGAGATTCTGGATACTCCCCAAGCTGTGATGAAGAAAGCATTACCCTCACCTTCAGCTGTGCAATTCTGACATCCCCACTGAATCAGCCTTTAGCATGTGAATGGCCCTGTAAGTTGTACTCAGCCACCATTTCTGATCCCTGATTAGATCAGTGCAAGCATGTGACAAAGGGAAACAGCAGCAGGAGGTGACAGAGGATGCACACTTTCTGGCACAAGTGCAATCTTGGGTACATTACAGCCAACTGTGTCACTGGAGAATTCCCCTGCTCAAAGCAGAGTATCAGGTCTCCAGTAAGTCTGCTGCTTTTAGGAGTGAAAAAAAGAACGTTCTGCCTTTAATGCCTCTAAGGCTCAAAAAAAAAAAAATCAGAGTAAGGAGGATAAATGAAGTAAACACAAATGCTTATGTACTTTGCTAAGTTCCTATGTTAGAACATCAAAAAGAAATGTATCAAGTCATTCAGGTAACCTACTAAGCTTACTGTTTTCAGTGATAACTTCATCCAGCACTTTAAAGATAAATGTATTCTTGAGATCTGACACATAACAGACTTTTGTGTTGGTGCAGTAACTTAAACGCTTTGGATTTTAAAAGAATATTTTTTTAAAAATTGTTTTTAGCTTTTCATTAAATTCTTTGCATCTTCTCCAGTATTCACCCAAGCATATCAAAACATTAGAAAAATATTTCATGTGTTCAACAGAAATATCTTTCCAACCAGTTCAGCAATAAGAGGCTGTTCACTTCTTCATTTAAAAAAATGGAGACATTTAAGAACTGCAGGCAAAGTTAAGAAATCTGTCTTATCTCTGTTAATTCTTCCAGCATTGCTTTTTTTTTTATCCACTCACTACCATTCTCACTGTACTGTAATTTACTGTAAGGTCTAAGAAGCATTAAAATAGCTGGTGACACTTCAAGTACAGCACTTTATTATATTTTGTGCAATAATAAATACAGGCCCTTTGTCAATGACAAAGAATGCTATTAAACATTTTCTTCTTCCTTCTATTACACGTTTTGAGTGTAAACTTAGTTGCCTTCACTGTTTTTGCATTGCAGTGATGGCAGAGAGGATTTAAGTTGTTACTAAGAGGAGGAACAGCAATAAGGTCTCATGGAAAATTTATATATATATATATAAATTCCTGGTAATCTGCAGTACTTCTTGCCATATATACTGGACTATCAAAAAACTTGTTGAAATACTAGTATTACATACACTTCTACTCTCAAACTTCCCATGTCACAATAATCATTATTTTTCAAATTATATTCAACAATATCATCCAGGTATACAGTGCTTCTAAAAGTGCTGTAACACTGCTGTTACAGCTGTATACAGCGCTGCAAAAAGATTTTTTCCTTGGGTAGAAGACACTACTTCTTCTTTGAGGTCCTTCTAGACTTCTAGGCTCAACTCATGGCCATATTAAAACCAGCATTAAAAGAGTATTGGATTTAAAGCGAGTAAAGTTCTAGTCAACAAGCTGAAACAATAGGTTTTTCCTTTACCTTAGAGCCAGGTTTTGTATCAACAGCAGATGTAGTTACTGCAGTGGACGTTTCACTGACCATGCTTGAAGGTCTTTGGTTTATTTGTTGCTTGGACATAGATGAATTCTGTCTAGAAAATAAACAAAACCAGATAATCTAAAGCACATTGTTTCAAACAGTCAGCTTTGTCTTTTCATATTTAAGATTCACAGTGTGCAAATGAATGACAGGTCTCGTCAAATATTTCCCATGAATCTGCATTTGCACTACTCCTGTTATTTTCATTTCAGGTCTTTCTCAAGCAGATGCTGCCAGTGACGTCTGATGATTGGTATTTGTCTATGTAACAGGAGGAAAAAACTGCCAAAAGAGAATCAAGGTATAACAAAGAGCACTCAGAGAAGATAAGGCCAATGCAGAGAAATTAAACTGTGCCCAATTTAGAGACTTGGCTGCAAACATGGGAAAGAGCAAATATTGGTGAGGGAAAGACAGGAATCAGCACTTTGCAATAACAGGCTTCTTATTTAAAATCAAAGTGAGACCAGTCTACCATTAGGTCTTCCCTTAACTTGATGTTAGATCTTTGAATCGGCCCAAAATATGATTCATACCATAATATGAATTATTAAAACACCTTTTTAGTGAAATGATGCAATTCACGGCAGATATTGTTAGAAATATGTAACTTGTGAGTCATACTAAGATTCCAGAAATCCTGATAACTAGCTCAGATACCCATATAAAGCATAGGTGAGGTAAATCCTACCAGAAGAACCTGTTCAACAAGCAAGAATTCAGTACAGCTGCCCAGATGAAGAAATAAGAGGATAAATGGAGGGCCAAAATCTTGTTGAATCCCACATGCAAGTTGTGAAGAGAAGCCTCAGCAGCCAAGCTTGACACCAACTTGTGAATTAAAACCATAGATGGCATTTTCAAAAATCATTCATGACATAATTTAACAAATTGTATTTTAGGAACAAGTAACAATACAGTCACATCAGAAAACAAAATAAAACAAACAATAAACAACCCATGATTTTCCTTTCTCCATCAGTGTACTCCACTAAAGTATAACTTTAATAAGCCAGTTATTAAAAAAAACCAAAAATATGACATACGGGCCACATCAAATAGAGCTGTTGCTACTACTGGATTTCAATCCAGTTCTGAACACAACAGAAAACAGAATAACTCTGAGCAGTTATCACTCCTGAGAACAGAAAAGAAGAGTTTGTGATTGTAGCAGCTCAACACAAGGTTTACCTAAGTCAAGGTGTTTGCCATTGCTGCTCTTCCTCAGTTACAATCTCAACAATTACCAGTTCAAAGGCTTTTATAGGTGATTTCGTGTCAGGGAAAGTACATTTTTCCACTTGTTACCACAGTTTCCATTCAGTTTGCAAGCAAATAACACAACCTTGGTCCCATTTTCTTTATGCCTTGCTTGTTTGGCTGAAGTTCCTTCTTGCTAGACTTTACACATAAGCTCAGGTCCGAGACATGAGAACAAACTCCAGCTAGTCCCTGAAATTCCTGGCCATCCTTTAAAGCACAAGAGCTTCATCATATCATTTGAGTCAGTTTGCCTAACCTCTTATGGACCAGGTATCCTACTTCAACATTTAATTAGCATTGGGAATATACAGTTAAAAGATTAAGACATTTCCCATATATGACACTGCCTGACTAAGCTGTTTTTGTCTTGCTCCCTTCCCACTTTATAAACTTTCAAAACAGGTAGAAAATGTAGATGCACAATGTCCCTGCATCTTACTTGCCTTCTCCTTACTTACCAAAACGGTTCCACTTCCCTGCTCAAGGCAACTAATCCAAGAGTAAGTACTTCAGTGAGGGAGGAACACTAATAAGGATGTGAGAATCATCTGCATTGCTTCCTCAAAATGGAAAATATTAGATTTTTATACCATTAAGAAAGCCACTAGAAAAGAGTCATGGAAAAATGTGCTTTCCCTGACACCAAACCACCTAAAACGCATGAAACCAAAACACACGGAAGGAAAATGTTTGGCTCCAGAAGACAAGAAATTTCCCTTCTTTCCTTGAGCTTCAGATTCTCTACAATGTCCCCACCACAAACTACTGAGTGTTACACTGAAGGAGAGTCATATGTTATTATCCAGGTACTTACTGGGTCAAGGAGGGAGGAAGGAAGGAGGTGAAAAGAGCACATAACATACATGTTCAGAAAATCTGTTGCCTTTCCAGACTTTAGATAATGTGATTGGATTATGTTCCTTCCTTCTTATACAGTGGCTATGTCAGAGAGCTAACTTTCTCAAGAAAGAGAAAAATGAAAAATGAAACTTAAGTTTTGACAAGCTGGAGTTAATTTTTCCAATAAAAATTTAATTAAAAAAAAAAGATTAAAAATCCCAGAGGAATGGTTTTAATTTAAAAATTCAACTCTGATTGAACTGATTTTCACTATTCTCCAAGATACTGTTTCACAGCTGATTAAACATACTCCACTTTTCCAAAAAAAATAAGAAAAAAGAAAAACAGAAGAACTAGAGAGGAAGATAAGCTTTATATGTTTAACAAGTCCATCACTATCAAAAAATCATAACTCAATGACGAATGTGTAATTTCTAAGCATTTATTATGTGGTCATACAGTGATTTCTCTTCCATTTGCTACTGGAAGTGATCACTGCCAATAAATTGAGCTCTCCTTTTCTAGTAGTACCAAATTAATAATGAACTTCAAATTCACAAGCAGAAAAATGCTTTAAAAAATGTGAGGTTGTTGCCATGGAAGAATTCAAATAGCCAGCAAAAGAGACATTTAGTCCATTGAAAGAGAAAATACATTATTATTCTCCTTAAAAAAAAGTCTTTGTCAGCAAACATTGGTGATCCAAACTCTCTGTATCTGACATGTAGCAGAAAACAACAAACAATATTGAAAATTAATTTCAGTATTTATATATATTTCAAGGAGACAACAGATTTGTTGCATGAAATCAGAACATAACAAAACTCAGGTATTCAAGTCTCTTAATAGCTAATTATCTGTTTTAAAATCAAATAAAAATAGGTAGAATATGAAAAATTACATGAAACATCCTGGCATATTAATGGAGTTAATGCTGTCCTAACAGTATTTACAGATTCAACTTTAAAAATAAGTGACTACAGCACTAATGGTGCATTCAGAAGCATTAGTTCAATATCACTATTACCAAAGATGTCTGATAATATCTGTTATCCAAGATACCCCATTCTGTCTTTGTAGTGATGTTTTGTGACTATTTTCAGGTTGATTTTCTTAGTGCCTTCCCCAGGTGTGTGCATACACACACAGAATTGCAGTAGGTACATCTGGAGCCCCAGTACAGTATAAATTTTTTTAACTACTTGAAAAATAACACTCTATATAGCAGCTCCTGTCAAGCGACTCCCTGTGCTACTTATGCACTGCTAGTATGTCTACAGAAATCACATTTACCAGCTGAAAGAATTATAGAGCCAATATTCGGGTTATTAAAACCAACACTGAACAACAACAATAAAAAAACCAACTACACCAGTAGCCCATATTGAAAATGCAATACTCATGAGAGAACACATTCCTTTGCTCTAATGGATCATAAAGATCAGTTGACTTGGAAGATCCACATCACACCAGCAACTTAAAAAGTTTATTTTGCTGGATCATACATGATGCATTAACATCATGTCAATCTGGTTTTAATACTAATAAATCTCCTAATCAGTTTGATAAAAAAATAAATGTCCTAGTAATTCTATATATGTAAACATGGCAGATATTTATTTTGGGGTTGTTTGGGTTTCCTCTTTTCTCTCCACCTGGTATTTTTGCTGCTATAGTAACCAAATGCAATAAGTGAAATAAGATGGCTCTCTACCCAGAGGTGGCACAAAGATTTCATCAGTCACACAAAAACAGGCAAGAAAGAGGATAACACTCACTGGCTTAAGCACACTATATTTTTTTCCCCTATATGTCTACATTTATGTTCAAGTCTAACCTTTTTTAAAGGATACAGTACTGTCTTCTCATTCACAAACACACTACTATGGCAAATACATCATACAGATCCTAATACACAACTAGTAGTGTTTAACAGAGACAAAATTAGGTATGTGGATGCATGTGCCTTATTCTTCCTTTCTGTATACAGTTACTTAAAGAACTGTTATCTAAAGGAAGATAAGAGAGGAGAAATCTAACCAATACATACATCTATCCTAAGAAATTCTATCACAGATTTTTCAGAGAAACACATATGTAACAATGTGGTAAAATGAACCTAACACCTGTCTGGCAGCCTTATCATTAATTCTCAGTTTTCCATTGGTTGTTTAAGAAAGAACCCTTTGTGGGTTAAGAGTTCATTAAAAACACGAAAGTACAGCACAGAAATCAAGAGGCAGTTGTGAAATAGAGGGAGGCTACCCAAGAGGCTTCCCATACAGCAAGATGCTCAATTTATTTAGAGGTGATCCCAAAAACTGTGAGGTGAGCAAGTCAATAGAGAATAAAAATTATTCTGGATAAAAACTGAAATGCTGGCAGGAATAGATAAAAAATTAATCTTCAGATATGAGTAACCAAATGATAAGATGCCAAACTGAATTCAGTGTCAACAACAGAAAAGTAATTCAAAAGAGGAAGAAATGAAAAACATCTCTGCAGCTTTTATCACTCAAAACAACACTGGTAAGGAAAGGATATTTTTAAATCTAAGCACAAGGAGTTGCAGCAGCCAAAGTATATTAAGAATTATTAGTAAAGGCATAGGAAAGGCAAAGTACAATTAAATTATTATAACAAACAATGAGTTCATGTGCTAAATATTTCATTCACCTATAATCAATCACTCCATCAGAAAAAAAAAAAACAACTCTGAAAGCGACATACAGAAAAGCTGGCTCTCAAGCAGAGTTAGTGAAAGGTACTGAACACACATCCCACACATGAAGTGACCAAAGCTGCTAAGCTCGGAAAAACAAAAGAAAGAGGTAGGGATTTCACAGTGGTCCCAGCTAAGAAGGTGTTAGGAAATAAGGAATCATGATAAAAAAAAAAATCTAAATAAGAACACCTCTAGGAAGAAGGAATAGTATAAAGATCAAAGATAATATAATTAAAAAATCACAGGTTCCACTCACAGTAGAGCTGAGGAAACCAGATTTCAGCTTAAAAAGCGAAAGTGATATGATACTGTTTAAATGCCTTGGGAAAAGACTAGTGAAATGCAGTCTCAGCCTTCTACTGAAAGTACCCAGTTCTCATTTGATCAACTGAAGCAAGGGCATGTGGTTCACAACTGAGTCATAATCAAGCTAGAATGACATCATTTATTGATGTCATTCTCCAAAACTTGTTTTCAAATCTTCTTGCCAAAACACTGCTTTCAGGATGAGGAATGGCCAGAGCAGTTCCTACATTCATCATTTCTAGATGACTGTAAATTACTTTTCTGATGTTAAATGTGTCCTTTTAAATGGATGTTTGCTGCAGCCTGAACAGGTTTGTGCTTACTTCTCCCCACTAGCTCCCAGTCAATATCTGGTTACAACTCCTGGCTTTGGCCCTAATCTTAAATTAAAATCAACCGATTAGTAATAAATCATGTCACAGCTGCACTGAAGAACAAATCACCTTTTATGAAACCCTTAAGAGTGCTACTACTTCAGACAGGATTCTTCAGCTATAGGAAAAGGTATTCTTGGTCAAAGGATCCCACGATGGAAAGTTTCCACAGGCCATGCCAATTCAGAGACTTCCTTTCCGACCAAGTCCTGCTTGTGGAAGTCATTTCATCACATGACTTGATCTACAACACTGATTCCAAACTAATACATGATCAACAACACCGATTGTAAGAAATCCCTGATGCCTGAGGGAAAAGAATGAAAATGTGGCATAGCCTCATTACATCCCTAAAGACAGGGAGGTGCTAGCAGCTACTTAGATTTCAGCAGAGACATCCACAGGTGTCAACAGCACCATTTGACAGGAACTCAGATATGATCGTGATGAACAGCATCTGTGTTAAATCCCCACTGTTGCACAAAAGTGGTACGAAACTGAGGAAACCAGAGCATCCCACACATTTGAAAAAGACATTTTCCAAGTAATTTTAACTTGACAGATGAAAAACATCTAGTTTCAAAAATGCTGTAAGTACTTTAGGTTAATAATAAAGCTTAGAAAATATTCTTGCACAGACCTTCCACTACAAACACATCCCTCCAGCCATTCCCTCCTCTTTTAGAATAAAAACCTCCTCTCTCTGTTAATTCTATTATAGTGTAAGATTTTTCTTGGTTTTGATACCATCTCAGTGTGAGTAACTGAAGTCTACAGATGCCCGTTTTCATCTGATTGGCCTCCAAATAAGCACCTTCATTTCTCTTCCAAAAAATTTGCTAACAGACATTAAAGATCACCAAAATCCTGTGCCAGCAACAAGCACTTCTTTCAATTCTTGTTTGAATATTTTATCTGCTACCATGATTACAAAACCGAAAACAGCCCAGGGAAGTATGACTAACCCAGGCAGGCACTCCACGGAGTCGTATCCAAATAACTATTTTCCTGTACACACATACAAATTTATATTAAATTTGACTGAAACTTTAAAACAGATCAATTAAAAATCAAGTGGATAGAAGTTGGAACACAGATGCACAGTGGCTGTTGTCCATAATGTCTTTCAGATTTACTCCATTGCAATGTACCTGTTCACCTCACTAATGAGCTGCAGCAGCTTGTTTATGTAACTGGAATGAGACAAAGCCCTCTGAGCAGCAAGTCACCGACCTGCATGCCATGGAACAGCTGGGGTGACCTCCAGCTCAGTAGTCATCACACAGCCTTCATACTAAACCACTCTCCCACAGTGTTTTATTTCATGCTATTTCTCAGTAGGCACCTTAACGCAGAATTGGCTGTTGGCTTTGCTTTGGATTTGGGGGAGGGCAGCTGTTAAGTTGGGGGGTTTTGTTGCTAATGTTGGGTTTGTTGGGTTGGTTTGGTTTTTTAGACTATTTGAGAACCCCTTCTCAGGGCTGTATCAGAACCTCTGAGCTTTACAGTCATGCTCTAGCTCCTTCCCACAGTAGAAGACTGTCATAAAGGGCTCAGTCTCCCGAGAGTCTTACATGGCCCTTCTCTGTGTCTCATTTTTCTTTATAATTACTTTGAATTGAACGTAAAGCAAATTAAATATCAGAGAGTTTGAAAATGTGAAGTGTTCAGAATCATGTGGGCAGCCATACAAAGCCCCACATCAAGGCCATTACAGCACGATGCCCAGGCTCTGTGATAAATGAGGGGCTAGGGGCTGCTTAGACAGGGTTGGAAAAGGAAAAGCTATCTGGTGTTGTCTCATTCTTGTTGCCTCTGGAGTGGTTTCAGAAGTGATGAAGAACCTTCTCCTAGACTCTGTGTCCTCTGTCTAGGGAAGACACCATTACAGTCATTCCATTACAAGAAGAATTCCAGGAGCAATCCAGTGCACAGCAAGGATGACAGGAGTAGTTAAACCCTACAGTGGAACAGGGCACGATCCAATCTAATCCAAAAGACATGCCCAAATTCATCAGTTTGAACACATGCGTATTTCTCCCCCTCCCTTTCTTTTTATTAATCAGACAATCAAGATAAAATATGCTGGAAACTAGTACATTCTACACTATTTCTCCAAAATAAAGAAGAATGTCTAACCAATGTAGAACATCTGAAACATAAGATAATCAAGGAAGTACAATAGTAACTAACAATATTTTGAGTATTTCTATTTCAGTACAAACCTTCCAGTTTGCTCTAAAAACATTTTTCATTTATGTTCTGTGTATCTGATATTCATATAAGGCTAAAGCATCACTGTTTAAATAGCCTATGTATATTGCCTTTAGTGTTTGTTTATTTTTGGGTTGGTTTGGATTTTTTAAAAGATCTCAAGCCCTAACACGGAACACTGTTAGAATCAAAAACATACTATCACAATGAGAAGTAAAATTTTAAGCATAAATATCAATGACATTTTTGCTACAATATCAGAAGAACTGTCAATAATCTAAAGTACTAATCTACTGTAGGTTAATGTGCTACTGTTTTAGATCTCTTGACATGGGTATAAAACTACTTACTCTTCTCGTAAAATAAATTCAATATTTTCTGGAGAGACCTGTCCTGTCACAGGATGTCTAAATGACGTGGTCTGCTGATTATGGCTGAAAAAAAAAAAAAAAAAAAGAAGGAAATTAATATTGCTAAACTCAGTAAAATATGATCTCTAAAAGGCAGAACTATTTATATTGATGTTTTACTGCTCTATTCCAGAAATGAAACATATTTCTGAGTTACTTTTCAAATCTGAAATGTTTTCAGCTCCTTCCTGTGATCTTGTTGACTTTGCCAATGGCACACTGAACCATTTAATCATTAAACAAGTTAATGTTTTAAAACTAAACTAGTTGCAATCCTCAGGGAGACACACTTGAATTTATGATCATTTAAACCTGACTATTACCGGATTATTTAAATATAACACATAATTTATTGATTTAAGTTTCTGTAAATTTCACAGAACAGAACCACTAAAATAACTTGAAATGCTGCTAGACAACATTTTACACAATTTGTATTTAATCAGATCACAGAGACATTATGTGGAAGCAATTTCTTGAATTTTTTTTTCTTCTAGTAAGGCATTTCTTCAATGATTTTTCTTTACACCTTCATGCAGAGAATCATGTGTAACCTTAGCTGTTCAGCTGCATGGTCCATATAAAACAACATAATTTAGTATTTTTATCTCAGTTGAATTAAAATCAGGAATTTCTATCAACTTTCCCCTCAGAGTACTATCTAGATGGTTTGCTATCCCCTGTGAAATATTGGTATTCACTAAAGACAAATGTTTTACCTATTTGTGTAACTGCAGTCCTGTAATGGAAAAACATGGAGTGAAGAAAGCTTTTTTCAGTTTAGACTGGTAGTCTTCCCTCCTCCACAAAATCAATTATTTCAATTAATTGTACAGAAAACAGAAGACAACTTCTGTAGATTTTTATACATAGTGAGCCCTTTATTCTTCTGTCCAAAGGAATGACTCTATAACATCATATATTTTAAAGAAATAAAAAATTAAAGATCTTCCTTTAGAATTAGAAAGGTCATGGCTGACATGCTGTTAGCCTTAGAATCAGAGGGAGTAGTGAACCAAGTGCTCACTTATTCAAGGTTCCAAATTTTTCTGGGTTTATCAACAATTTTTAGCTAAACATCCAAAACTAGAATTCCCACCAAGTGCAGCAAAACAGTAACATCCTGTGAGTATCTTCAGAAAACAAAAATAAAAAGGCGTTCAAAAGAGTTATATTTCAAAGAGACAAAAATGAAAACTTGATCAACTTTCTTGTTTAAAGATTTGGAGTTTTTCCTTCCATAATGCCCAGTAGTTTCAGGTCTTACCATTTTGACCCTGTCCTCTAGCACAGCAGGATGTCCCCCAAAATCAGAACAAGGCATAAAGAAATATTTTGATGTTTCAGAATAATGAAATTCCTAAGAGATAACACTCTTTCTGATGAGTAAAGGACAGCTAAAAATCAATCCGCTCATGCAGCTGTAACATTCCAAAGTAAATAGCGCAGGACATGCCTTGATTTAAAAAACAAACCAAAACCAAGCAAACCAAAACCAACCAACCAACCAAATAACCAAGAAAACCCCAACAATAACAAAAATCCCACAAATTGTTCATGCTAAGTCCCACTTGGGCCACGAACAGCAGAGGATGTTTGGGGTGCTATAAACTTCTCACCCCTTTTCCAGTGTGCCATGCTATAGGAAGAGTCAGATACAAGGAACCCACATAACAACATTTCCAATGATAAGCTGAGAGCTGTAACAACTTATGTAACAGCAAAAGGACTTTTTCCAGCCCTACCTCTTACAAAAATTCTCACCCTAAAGCCATTGGAAACTGTCAACAAGATATTTGGCCATCAGCTACTCCGTAGCACTCCCTGGGCCGATGAGAACTGACCTTTCCTAGAGCTGAGGGTTAACAAAGCACCTTTGCAGTTTCTAACTCTTCAGCTTTCCCCATGAAATCAGAGATCCAGAGAAAGCATTTCCAGAAAGCACACAGTGCTAACATCAACAAAGTAGCCAGGATCCTTTTCTTCACAAAAAGACTGAGGAGTATTGTTTTCTAAAGAAGCATTTTTATGTGAGTTTATATTTTAATTTTGGGTCTACATCCAAAGAGAGGGACAGGAACTTGCAGATGTTTTCAAAGAAAATAATAAATTCTAACACTAACAATTATCTCCATGTTTCTCACACAGTCCAGTTTTATGTTGAAAGTCTCTCCTCTCACACCAGGCCTGAAGCAGTCTGTTTAACCTTTGGTGCTTAGGTTAGGACTGCTATCAAAAAGGCAGATACATTGTTAGCTTAGAAAAATCAAAGTACCTTGCCAGCTATATTCTCCAGGGGCAGCCAAACTGTCAACAAGCTCTCCTCTGCAGCCTTTTAGTCATTAATAACTCACTCTACAGTTAAGACTAAGAAAAAAGGATTATACTCCAGAAATGCTCTAGGGTTGTTTAGGAAGTGAAGTTACTAATTATACCATACTAGCATGCATACAAATGCTTTATTATTTCCTACGAAATAAATTCACCAGGTCTTCTGAAGATAAATTAGTCCACTTGCTGCAATTTAAGAGGAAGTGCACTACTAATAGGCTAAATATTACTTACTAATAATAAAAGTTTTGCTGGAAAGTAAACACTTCTTAAATATCTGAGCAAATGCATTTTGGGACAAGTTTTGCATGTCAAATACGAAGAACAGAGAAGCAGAGAGATGGCTCTGTTACTGCACAAAATGCAGATGGTAATTTCACAGAGAAGGAGAAGGAATATAAAAGCAAAACTTCCCGCAAATCTGCAGCTTCAATAAGTAGGACTTGACTGGGAAGAGAGAAGTGAAACCCCTGCCACTAACAATTAGTTTTGCAGAACACAGTGGTTTATTTGAATTTGAAAAGTGAGCGTTTAAGTGTTTTGCCTCACAGGACTCATTAAGAATAAGCGATACTATTCAAAACAACCTATACAACAGATGGCTAATGCCTTGCAACAAGGAATTAGATAGCAGGGAGATTTTTGTTCACAATGAGAGCAGTCAAACATTGGAAGAGGTTGCCTAGCAAAGCTGTGGAATCTCCATCCTTGGAAACATCCAAAATGTGGCCGGATAAGGCTCTGAGCAACCAAATCAAACTTTATGAGCTGGTTCCAACTTTGAAGCTGGCCTGGCTCTGAACAGGATGGGTTGGATCCGATGGCATACAAGGGTTCCTTCCAATATAAATTATTCTGTTCTATCATTCTATACTGCTCCCTCCATCTTTCTCTAAAAACATAATTTAATTCTTACAATACCTCTGAAGCTTTCCCAGTGTTTAAATAGATTTATTCCAAGACTATTAGTAGTGGGTTTTTTTTAGAATGAGAGAAATTCACTCATTAGATTTGTAGATTACAATTTTTTGTTGTTGCTTTCATGTCTTATAAACATTTTCTTAACACTGATATCTGTTTATACAACACTGATAACAATACTTTCACTAGTGAGTGATCTAGTAAACTTATTGCAGCGCAAGTTTTCCTTTTCTTCCAAGCACAGACTAAGCAAAGACCTGAGTTGTTCTCCAGACACATCAGCTAGCCAAGCCTCACAGTAGTTAATCACCTGTATTTCCTCAATTAGCAACCGCTGAATGTGTTCCCATTGTCCAGAAATCTGTCATGTATAACGGGCACAATAAATGTGCCTTGATAAAAGGACATGATATGCTGCTCCACTCTTCATGCCCCCCTTAGTCTGTTTTTTTACTAGAGAAAGATTTAATAGCCCTCAGCAAAACTGGGAAGGGCTTATGATGCTTCACTGTGTGAATTCTAAATGCTTTGAAATTTGTATTAGTACAACATCACACATTTGAAATGCCAAGCTAACTCTTCTAGTTACAAATTTTCTGTGTGAGAAAATTCAGCATTTTTTCCTAGCAATCATCTTTTAACAATTTTGTATTATTCTGATTTTGTACAAATACTGATGAACAGAGCCACCAAACCAAAGCAAGTATAAAAACATGAAAAATTCAGATTCAATAGTATCTACCACTACCAGCATTATTAAATTGCACTATAGACTGTTAGAAGTAATTCTGAACTTCATAGTTACAGAACACCATTTTCCAAGGATTGCTGTGGGTTTGTAATAGTTAAGACTCAGACCCTTCATAATGGAATCACAGTTTAAACACGTTTCTTTTTAATTAGACACCTCAACACAAATTCTATTATTTCACAGCATGTGTACACTACAATTACCAACATAAGAACTGACAGTTGCCCACTGTCTTAAGACAGATTTACTAAAGCAGTTTAGAAAGACTCAAGACCTTTGAGATGTAAACAAAATGAATACACCTGGCTAACCTGAGCCCCATGTGAAGTCTTGCTGCTTGAGCAGCTAATGTCACTTCTAAACTGGCTCTGGGTTCAGGTGTGGGGGTGGAACCAGATAACAGATAATCTTAAAAACTGGGAGTTGTTACGTTCCTGCTGGGTGGGTGGGAGTGCAGACACACAGACACGTATATCCTTAGATAGCACCTTACTGCTCACCATCCAAATGCAGCCTAAAACATTGCTCAGGTGTTCATTAAGCGAGTCTGGAAATTTAACACTGCCTATCATTTGCTTGCACTAATCTAACCTATAGTATGATAAAATTTAACTGACTTTAACACAAGAAAACCATACAATTACAATCCAGTCTCCGATTCTATAGTATAATTGACACAGGCAGGCACTTTTGCTTGCATGGATGCTTTTGCAGAACTCATAATTAACATGACTTCACTTCATTGTGTAGTTGAGTCAAAGCCAAGTTCTAATTATTAATTTTTGGACATGAGTGATGCTGATGACCTTTCATTTGAAGTCAAGCAAGCTTACAGATTGCCTCTGGAGTAATTTAAATGCCCAGGCAGATGAACCTTGAAATGTGTAAATCAATTATTGATTGACTCTACATCACATTAACAACAAATTTATAGGTTGCAAGAAAAATTCATGTTGTCATTGGACAGACTGTCCTATAAATTATGAGGAGCCATTTGTACAGTATTTATTTTCCAGGTAGA